GCCATCTACCACTGAAGAAGGCACCGGGTCCGGACGGACTTGATTATGCAATCTTAAAGGTCGCCTTCCGAGCACGGCCCACCTTCTTTCGCCTCTACTTCAATAAACTCCTGCACCACAGAGTATTTCCACAAGCTTTCAAGAAGGGACACGTGGTACTTTTTCTCAAAAAAGATAAGAACCCAATAGACCCCTGCTCCTTTCGTCCGATCTGTCTCCTTTCAGCGTTGGGTAAGATCTATGAAAAGATCATAGTTAACAGGCTGAAGTATCATATTCACAAAAACAACTTCCTCAGTCCCAAGCAATATGGCTTCCGTTCAGGTTGCTCAACCACACATGCCCTTCAACGAATATATGATGAAGTCCAGCTTAATCGCTCACAGAATCTTCAGACTGCATTCATCTCAATAGACCTCCAGAGCGCTTTCGACACCCTTTGGTGGCCCGCCATCAAGCAGGCCCTCAGAGAGGCGCAATGCCCGGAGAACATCTACCAAGTCTTTGAGAGTTATCTCACAGATAGGCAATTACTTATGGCAAACAATAATGGCATTGTTACTAAGACCCAAGTCAGAGGCTGCCCACAAGGGTCCTGTGCAGGGCCCTTGCTCTGGAACCTGACATTTAACAAAATCCTCGAAGCGACGTGGCCTGATCACACAACTATCATTGCATATGCTGATGACGCGGCTCTCCTTGTTAAAGGTCGCACACGAGACGAAATTGAAGCCAATGGCAGCGAAGCGTGCGCCAAGTTCGCAAGCCTATGCGAAGACCTTAAGCTGAGGATTTCTATCACCAAGTCTTCTGCACTCCTCATCCCGAGACCGGGCACGAGGCCTGTACGTCGTCCCTGTATCCGATTACTTGGCCGCAACATTAAATTCATGGATACACAGAAGTATCTAGGAGTGGTCTGGGACTCTGGCTTAACATGGGTGCCACATTTGCAGCAACAGAGAGCAAAAACCTCCGCTATAGCCAGAATGACACGGAAATTTCAAGGAAGGAATTGGGGACTAAATCCCCACATTCAAAAAGTGCTTTATAGCACGGTGGTGGAAAAGATTGCGCTGTACGCAGCTGCAATCTGGGCTCAACCGATGACAACGAGGAAAATCAAGCAGTTAACATCACTCCAACGCCCTTTTGTCATAAGCATCTGCAGGGCATACTGCACAACAGCCACGAGCTCCGCCCTTACTCTAGCAGGTATAGTCCCTCTACACATCCAGGCCGAGCTAGAGGCGACATATACGAGAGTCCTTCACTTGAGGAAAGAAAGACGCCTCCTTCGCAGGTACTCTCTACAGTCCAGCACTTTATGAGCACCCCAAGACACCGCTGCACACACATCCAGCGCATAAAGGACTAGGGGTCCACACCCACATCATGCAACAGCCCAACAAGGAAATACAGCACATCAGCAACCATACACTTTACACTGATGGTTCTAAACATGCTGAAGGCGTTGGCAGTGCTTTCCTGCACTGTTGGCAAAGCCAAGAATTACATCATTGGAAAGGCCACCTAGGTGACAGCAATAGCGTCTTTCAGGCAGAAGTGATAGCAATTACAGCTGCTGTTGAATATCTAATAAGCCGAAAAATCTCAAAAGCTTATCTCTATACGGATAGATGTTGCTGCTTTTATGTTGGGTATCTATATCCATTGTAATAAATCTTTATGCACTATTTCTGTTTTATCTTTACCGTATTCCGCTCTGATATCAATTTTGTTGTGTACTATTTAAAGTTGCATCATGTTTCATGTATTTATCAATGTATTTCATGTCTCTTGTATTTATCAATGTTTCCGTGTCATGTATTGTATCATGTATTTTGTCCTGTATTTTATCAAGTATCATGTTTTTACTAAGCTTTTGTTCACTGTCTGTACACCCTGTAGTAAGTATAGAATCTCTAGATACCTCACTATTCCCAATATACAACACTATCGTGCATTGGCAATATGCTTAAGTTTATGTATTGAGTGAAGAGTATTGGCATCTAATTACGCCTTATGTTTATGTGATTAATGTGTTTTTTTTTTTTTTTTTTTTTAAATTTAAGACCCTTTCTCTTTATGTCTTGCACTTGACTATTTATGACATGCTAATGTAACCTGAACTGCAATGTAACACAATCACTCATCTGCTCTTGTTGCACTGTAAATACTTTTATTAATTTAAAGTTGCTGCTTCTACACATGGGAAGGCGTGGGACATATGCCTGTTTACCACTGTTAAACACCAGGCGTCCCCGTCTTCCGTCACCTGTCACCTGTCACGAAAGGGTCAAAGTACCTTTGAACGATTCTAGAAAATAGCATACTTACGGGAAGCTGATATCTTGAATTTAGGGGTTAGAAATTATGAGAATCAGTTAAAAGATTCTAAATTATAAGTTAAAAATGCTTAGGGGAATATCTAAGGAGGAGAAATATGTAAGTAAATAAGATATATAAAAATGTTCTCTGCTTGCTTGATAAGTCAAAAAAAAAAATATCTAACTGATACTGAAGGAGATCTAATTTAGCTGAAGATCTTTTTTCAGTAATTTTGCCTTAAAAATTATTAAACGAATCATCAATATCCTGGTGTAAACTGATATTAATTACTATATACGTAGTTTGGCATTAAAATTTTAATGTACTTCGGTGTTCATGTACTAGAATAGAAAATGATAATAGTAAATAAGAATATTCATGTAAAGTAAAAGAAAATGGTCATGATAAATAAGACTATTTACGTAATAAAAAGGGTGTACTTGTGTATTCGTGTAATATAAATATATTAATATAATAATAATTCATATAATATTATAAAGAGAATAATGGCAATAAACAGAGTATTTTTTATTACTTCATCACATCGATTTAAATAATCTGTAGATATCAGTTTTAATTAATTTTTCAGTAATTTGAAAGCATATTTTAAGTTTGTACTTATCAGAGCAAAGCTGTCTTTTATTCAAATTTCTCTGTTCTGCAGGAATATATTAGAAGCCTCAGCAAAGATCTGTTAAGGAAGTATACATGGAATGATACAGGAAATTATTCGGAAAGGTATTATTAAGGTTTATTTATTTATTAAGAATTTAAGATCAAAATGCAGTCGTATTTTTGATAAAAACCTAAGTAATTAATAAAAAATAAAGTAATTCCTCCATTGATCAATGCAGTAATGATTATTTGTATAATGAAGTTATAATAATGAAAAATTCAAAGCGTTTAATTAAAACTCATCATTTATACTTTTTATGATGGACCTTTATGGACTGATATGTCTCCTTCTCACTTATTTTAATTTTCATTTGTTTATTTTTCTGTTAAAACTGTTTCTTTATTTTATAAATCTGAAAAATTAATGCAGTGGGAGCTTGCTGTGAGTCAAGTGAAGTATTAGGAATATAAATGTTAATGAAAAATCAAGGGAACATCACATCTTTAGTAAATAATTCCTTTCAGAAATACCAAGAATATGATATGTAGAACTACGGAAACTCAGTTTTCTTATGAGTTAGGAATGAGATGAGGCCATTTTAGAGCGCATGTGCGTGGGCGCATGCGCGTTTAATGTATAACGGACGGTATAAGCTAAGCTAAAATTATCTAGTTATGTATTTCATTTACTGTTGCAGATTGCGTTGTTCCTTAATCTTCGGATTGGATCCGGCTTATTATTTTTTGCAGACTGTTAGAGCAATTTTATAAAAGTAAGCTTGAACTTTCTATTATATCAAATAGAATTTCCGATGCTGGAGCTCCCAAAGGATCTACAAAGCGAAAGTATATTTCGATGTCCATCAAGCAAAAAGTGGAATTGCTGCAAAAAATAGATAAAGGCATATCCTTCGTTTCTCTAACCATTCCGAAATCTGTTTATCAATTTCACGCTGCTCTGCGGAGGGGGGGGGAGGGAACGTCGCGGAGCGCAATGAATTGGAAGTTGATCTGTCAGCACTATCCTTATCTTTAGGGCAGATGTTTTTATTTTATTTGGCTTATAATTCCTTACTAAATGTAGTATTTCATCTCGATGTACTCCGTTTTTGATGTGATTTAAATCAAATTCCTCGTCATTATAATTCGCTTCCGATAGTGAAGAAAGTGACAGAGAGGTTATTGAAGACGAAAAAATTTCGATTGACAAATTAGTCAGTATTCTCGACACAGCAATTATAGGACTTGAACAGCGGAACTTTGTAACTGAACAAGAAATTATGTGTGTTTATAGAATTAAAGAGAAAGTATTATCACATAAAACGAAGCAACTTAAACAACTTACATTGAAAGAAATGTTTAATAAAGTAAACAAATAAATATTAAGCTTTTTTTTTTTTGATACCCTTTAAATCATAATTGTTCTTTATTTCCTAAATTACGGTTTCATATTTTTAATTTTATAATTTCTGCATGCGATCTTACCAGATTTAAACTGGTGATCTATAATCCGGAATCGCCGAGTCCCGACGAGTCCGGATTAAAGACTTTTGACTGTAGAAAATTATGTTTGAACAACCAACGAAATGAAGTTATGCTTTAGCGATAACTCGGTAGCGAAATAACGATGCAGGAACTCATTCAGTTATATTTTGCCTTTTTTTGTATAAATTATAATAATGATCTGAAATAGTCATTTACTCTTATGCTTCCATTCAGTTATGTTTAGCCTTTTTTTATATAAATTATAATAATAAAAAAGTATTATATGAAATTAACCTTTCATCTAAATTAAAACAATAAATTTAAATAATTATCTACTATTATACTTCCTTTCTTGCGTTAAGGTTGCCGCAATTATTTTTGGCACCACTGGCATCAAGAATAGTTTGGCGATATTTTACGGTCCTCAAAACGGAATAGTACCCTCATTTTGAATTTCGTATTTGTCCACGCTTTTGGTTATTCATATACAGGTAAAGAATAGGATGTTGAAAATAATAATAAAAGGGGATAATCAATGAAATATTGTAGATTACGTCAATATCGTCGGAAGAATTTTATCAAGAATGTCGAAATCTCGCCAACAGCAGCCAAATGCAGTATTATCGTACCCACACCAAAGATCGTATCGTAGGATCTGTGCCCTCTGCCCTAATAGTATTCAGATTGTTGAGAATAGGTATTGTAAGCTAACTGTTGAATTTACTTTTAGGATGCCAGTCCCACAAATTACTTCCATGAGAGTATTAGATAAATGCGGTGTTTTTAACCTCACCAAAGAGATTGTGAAAATAAAATATAAACAACAGCCTGTTGATTAGTGAAGAGGTGAAATGCTTATCATATTTATAAACTAAACTTACCTTGTAAACATAAAGATGCAGATTTTCTTAAGTCTTTCACAGGTATTCATTATCCTGAACCACAAAGCTTTCATATTAATAATCATATTTAATTAATAAAACAGTTCAAAACAATTTTTTTTTTCTTTTGGTCTTATCTTTCTTTTTTCCTTTTCTTTTATTTATTCATTTGACTGCTGTTGTTATAATGAGTTTTAATAGCCAAATTCCTCATTAGACATAATGAAAACAATAAAACAGTCAAATAACAATAATCAGGAAGTAATATGCTGAAGAAATAGGAAATTTTAATTGTGCAGGCTCTCATTTCTCTCCATATTTTAAAATCTAGCTGAAAGGTAAATTTAATGTAATTTTTATTACTGAAATTGTATTATAAAGTAATTAATAAAAAATTATCATTTGTTATATTTCTTAATAATTACATTCATAAGAAATTATTAAAGAGCCCATTTTTAAAAAATTGTCAAATATTAGCTGACTCTAAGTTATGTACCCATTTTATGTTTAGAATATTAAATATTTTCACTCTTAAATTATATACCATTTTGTTATCAATGCCTTTTTTTCCCCTCCCTGTTTCATTTATTTGATTCAGCCTAACCTGTGTTTCTTTTACAACAGGAAACTAAGACGTGTGTTAATCCATGCAGCTTGTGGGAATGGAAATTATGAATGTTTAATAAATGCTGGAAAATTATTCAAACAATGGATGGCAGGTGCAGAGTAAGACTTTTATACATTATTTGAGAGCATATTCTTTCATAATTATAAATTATTTTATAAGCAAAAATATAAATGGAATAATTTTATGTTATTGACTTTTAAAATATGTGCTTTTTTTATTTCTCTTATTTATTTATACACCTATAACCTGTGAACAGAGCCAGTTTAAAGGCCTCTCAACATTTGATGCCCAGACATAAGAGGGCCTTCATCATAAACAGTTTGTTAGTAAAAACAGGCTAAAGTTATTGTTGAAACAATATTTCTTCTTTTTAAATTTTAACATAACTGAAATTCCAATTCCACAATTTCTGTACATTAATAACAATGTGATAAAATCTGAAAGTTGAATTGTACATGTCTACAGTGGTGGCCAAAATTGTGGACACTTTTGGAAATTTTTATGTTTTTGAACTTTGTATGCTTATAAAAAATTTTATGTTTCGCAAAATGCAAATTGTATATCATTTTAAAGAGAATTTATTACTGAATTTCATACAAAACACAAAATTCAATTATTTGCAATACAAAAAAGTTATATGTACTTTAATATAAATAAAAAAACACAGTTATGAAGTGGTTTGTAATGTCTAGCTTTCCTGGCCAATCACTGTTCTTGTTCTGAGAACCAATCAATTGTTAGTAACTGCCAGTAGAAGCTGACATCATGTTTACACTTGAAACAATTCATTATTTTGCTTTGTTCTGTAGAAGGAGGTCCTGTTTCTTATACACTGCAATTACAAGTAGGAATTTTTGTAAAAATTTTTTATATTTAGTAAGAAGCAATGACATCAAGTAAAAGAGTAGATTGGACACCTAGAAAGAGATGTAATATTATTGTGTTACGAGAAAGTGGTCTTTCCTATGTTGAAATTGCAAGACAGGTAGGTGGTTCAGTGACTACATCTGGAGTCCGAAACTTTTGTTTACGATATCAGGAGACAAATTCAATAAAAACCAAAGAAGGAAAAGGCCGAAAAAGGTGCACCACATCTATTGATGACAGAAGAATAAAAAGACTATGTCTCCAAGATAGAAAAATGTCATCAGCGGCCATCAGAAGTGATCTGAATGATGCTGGTGTTTCTGTGAGTTCAAAAAAAATTATGGAGAAGATTAAGAGATGTTGGACTGAGAGGTAGAATTCCACGAAAAAAGGCCTTATCTTAATTTTCAGCAACGAAAAAAAAGACTGCAGTGGGCAAAGGAACACATTAATTGGTTAGATGATCAGTGGTCACAAGTTATATGGAATGATGAAACTTAAGCTATCGTTATTCGGTAGTGATGGGTGAAAATATATAAGACGTAGAATAGGAGAAGAGCTACATGCTGACTGCATTCAAGCAACTGTGAAGAACCCAGTTAGTGTTATGATTTGGTCATGCATGTCAGCAGATGCTATTGGTCGCCTTCATGTCATCGATGGGATACTGAATGCCAGAAAATACATTGACACTATTCTATAACCAAAACTTCTACCTTCCATCAAAGATCTCTTTCCCAACAATGCTTCATTTATTTTTCAGCGGGATTTGCTCCATGCCACACGGCCAAAATATCGAAAGAGTGGTTACGTACAAAGAGCATTAAACTGTTGTCATGGCCAAGAAACAGTCTTGACCTCAATACTATCGAAAATTTGTGACACCGTTTGAAAACTCTTGTCCGAATGAGGCGCCCATCAAATAAAAGGGAACTAATTGAGGCTATAACTGTTTCCTGGCATCATGTAATAACGAAAGAAGAGCTTAAAACTCTTGTCAGCTCAATGAAACATCGATGTGAAGCTGTAATCAAAAATAAAAGGTACCCTACTAAGTACTGATAACTCACTGCAATCATGACTATCTAATGTATGTCGATAACTATTATCGTTTAACTTTTTTTGTATTGCAAATAATTGAATTTTGTGTTTTGTATTGAATTCAGTAATAAATCTCTTTTAAAATGATATATACAAGTTTGCATTTTGTGAAAACGTAACATTTTCTATAAGCATACAAAGTTCAAAAACATAAAAATTTCCAAAAGTGCCACAATTTTGGCCACCACTGTATATTTTTAGTCTCATTGGCAAACTTACTGCAGGCTATTAACAAAAAAAAAAATCTGATGTGTACACCACATGACTTCATTGTACGGAATATTAAATTATACGCATTTTTTCTTGCATTTTATTTAAACTTATTAGATTGAATTAAACCTACTTCGCCGACAGCGCATAAACCACAATAGAATAGATGCATTCTTTAAAATTCACTTTGTTTACCATAGCGACACTCTGGCGCTAGGTTTACTTAATAGTATTATATTTCATTCATATTATAACTCAGAATGCACAAAATGTATATCATTTAAAGAATTATCTAATCGTTGCTACATGTTCTTTTCAAATACAGTCAAAAGTCGTTAATCCGGACTTGTCGGGACTTCGGCGATTCCGAATTATCAATTTTTCCGGATTATAAATCATCAGCTTAAATCTGGTAAGATGGCATGCAGAAATTATAAAATTAAAAATATGAAACCATAATTTATGAAATAAAGAACAATTATGATCTAAAGGGTATCAAAATTTACAAAAAAAAGCTTAATATTTATTTGTTTACTTTATTAAACATTTCTTTCAATGTAAGTTGTTTAAGTTGCTTCGTTTTTTTATGTGATAATACATTCTCTTTAATTCTATAAACAGACATCATTTCTTGTTTCAGTTACAAGTTCCGCTGTTCAAGTCCTATAATTGCTGTGTCGAGAATACCAACTAATTTGTCAATCGAAATTTTTCGTTTTCAATAACCTCTGTCACTTTCTTCGCTATCGGAAGTGAATTATAATGACGAGGAATTTTATTTAAATCATATCAAATACTGAGTACATCGAGATGAAATACTGCATTTTGTAAGGAATTATAAGCCAAATAAAATAAAAACATCTGCCCTGAAGATAAGGATAGTGCTGACAGATCAACTTCCAATTCATTGCACGCCGCGGAGTTAAAGATAAACAAAGTTTAGATAAACAAAGGATATGCCTTTATCCATTTTTTGCAGCAATTCCACTTTTTGTTTAATGGACTTCGAAACATACTTTCGCTTTCTAGATCCTTTACATATTAGTAAATATATATCAGAAATTCTATTTGACAAAATCAAAAGTTCAAGCTTACTTTTATAAAATTGCTCCTAACAGTCTGCAAAAGAATAATAAGCCGGATCCAATTCGAAGATTAAGGAACAACGCAATCTGCAACATTAACTGAATTAGATAATTTTAGCTTAGCTTATACCGTCTGTTATACATCAAACGCGCATTAGTAAACGTATTTTGTGCACACGCACACACATATTCGCAGCCGTAAAGGTCTTACGCGCATGAGTCAACGCTACCCATGCGCAGAAAGTTTGTATCTTTGAGGTCCGGATTATAGATCATTCCGGATTATGGGTGTCCGAATTAACGACTTTTGACTGTACTATAATAAAGCTAGAATTATGTATAAAAGAAATTAAGCAAACAAAACAAAAAAAGAAACAGTTTTTCCCAGACGATTGAGTATTTCTCATTCAATTAATTCAGTTCTCACTTTGCGAGAAAGCAAAAATACATAAAAACTCAAAATATCTATATTAAAAATTACGAAGTAAATCTCAAACGCTTATTTCCTCGAAAAAATTCCAGAAAGATTTAAGCATGATTTAATTCCAATAATGAATGCGTTATCTTTGTTGTTGCAAAGCTTAGTTTCTCTAGATTGCCAACAAATCCACTAGTCTCCTGTTTCAAATGTAAACACCAATGGCCGCCATTAAAAACAGGCTTAGCGGCAATTAAACAACTTTTAAATTGCTGACAATTCTAAAAATATTGCACACAGATTTACTAAAGGCATAAAATCCTTAACCGGAAGATAAAAACAACATAATTCAATCATTTTTAAAGCAAAAAATGTGCAATTTACAAACATATAAGAGTAAAGAAACTGAGATTACAGAGCCGGGTAATAGAGTGGATATATATATAAATATATTTTTTATATATAAATATACGTTTGGTGCGGCCGATTGCAACCAAAATATGAGGTGCACATCTACATGTTATAGCAGTCCTATATACAAAATTTCAACGTTCTGAGGCTACTCGTTTTTGAGTTATGCGAGATACGTACGTACGCACTTACATACATACGTTCGTACAGACGCCAGGAAAAATTCTCTTCAGAATTCATTTTAAAGCAGTTTTATAATTTTTTTGAAGGAAAAGAGTATTTTATTTTGTCCTTACGTACAGATATCACGTAAAAACATCGTTAAATTGCATTCGATAGCGGTCAAAATGGATATTTTCGTTGAAATATGCTGCCTGAAACTTTTCGCGATTACAATACGTCCTTTTTACTTCGTACAAGGAAGTAAAAAGGCTCAGATGCTCTTTGTCTATTAAAGCAGCACAGTTCTTTTTTGCATAGAAAGTGTTTTAAACCTAAAGCAAAACTATAAATAAAAAGTAGAGAAAAATAAGTTTTATTGGAATTTTTAAAATGCTACATCTTTACAAAGCATAAAAGCTAACTAAATATAAACACTATGCTGCAGCCTGGAAACCTGAAAACTAAAGTATATGTTATTATTATTCTCTGTCTTTATGTAATATACTTTAACACTGCCTATCAAAGTATCTTGTAAATATGTTAAATACGGAAAAAAATATTTATTAAATGTGTAGTGGCCCAAGTATTGCATGAGAAATAATTATTTTTTATTTCATATATTTGTTCATGTGTTTAATTATTTTATAAAATTAACTTTTATTTTGTTAATATTCATATTTATATTTCTTTTATGCTGAATGGCAACAAGTAGTTCATATTTTTATGCTGAATGGCAACTAGTTCTGATTCATGATTGGTAGGTTTCGGTTTCAAAATGTTCCTCGTTCCTCGTAGTGTCGCATTTCGATAGCTGGAAAATAAAATGCTATAAACTTAACTATTTGAAAATCCAAATTGTAGTAACTCTTATCCATACTTCTGCCAAAAAATAACTAAGGCCAGTTATAAAATTTTGAACTAAGAATAATCACTGCATTTGGGAATGCATTTATATGATAACAGTTTTCTTCACAATTGAAAATTAAGAAGACAAGAACTCAAATGACACCAATGAGCATGTGCAATCCACGATAAATGTAATTTCTAGTAGTTTCTCTCAAAAACTAAGCAGACATTTATATTTTTATTTATATGCTTAAAAAAATTAATAAATTAGAGAAATAAATGAGGTTGTCATTATTTATTCTCAAGTTTGGTCCCACTTGGAAAATTTTCTCTGAAAACTTAAAACTTTTTAATGATTAGTTTTTAGTTTAATTTTACATTAAAATAAGTTCTTTAATGATTAATTAATAAACATGTTAGAATTATTTGAAACGAATGTCAGTTTAAAAATTTAATATTTAGCTGTCAGTATATTTGATTTGCAAAGTGTAGCCAACAAACATATCTTGCAGGCACCAAACTTTAGATTTCAGGTAGAAAATAAATATAAATTTGAATTTTTTTCCTCTGTGATATAATTATTATTTTTCATGTTTATTTTGATAAAATTTAGTAAATGTAATTTGCATTTCATTTAATAGATTTTATATTTTGTTAAAAAAAAATTTGGCCGATGAGCTGTTTTTAGATTGTGCATTCAGCCCACATACAATTTGACTTTGATAATGTATGTAAATGGAAGGAATTGATTGTTTTTTGGGAGTTGGAGCTCATATTTGATTGATTAAGTTTCATAAGATCAAATTGAAAAAGACAGAGGCTAGTTTTAGAGAGAATGTGTTTTTTACCATTATATTTCTGGCAAAAAGAATGTAAAGAACTGTAGCACTTTAACTATACAAGCTTTCATATTCCAGAGATTAGTGCATCCAAAGAGCAACTGAAAAATGGAAGGTTTAGTTCTGTGACCATGATTGATTTTTCATATACAGTCAAAAGTCGTTAATCCGGACTCGTCGGGACTTCGGCGATTCCGGATTATCGATTTTTCCGGATTATAGATCATCAGTTCAAATCTCGTAAGATGGCATGCAGAAATTCTAAAATTAAAAATATGAAACCTTATTTATGAAATAAAGAACAATTATAATCTAAAGGGTATCAAAATTTACAAAAAAAAAAAAAAAAAGCTTAATATTTATTTGTTTGCTTTATTAAACATTTCTTTCAATGTAAGTTGTTTTAAATTGCTTCGTTTTATGTGATAATACTTTCTCTTTAATTCTACAAACAGACACAATTTCTTGTTCAGTTACAAAGTTCCGCTGTTCAAGTCCCGTTAATTGTTGTGCCGAGAATACCGACTAACTTGTCAATCGAAATTTTTTCGTTTTCACTAACCTCTCTGTCACATTCTTCATGTCTTTATCCATTTTTTGCAGCAATGCCACTTTTTGTTTGATGGACATCGAAACATACTTTCGTTTTGTACGATCCTTTGGGAGCTCCAGAATCGGAAATTCTATTTGACATAATCGAAAGTTCAAGTTAACTTTTATTAAAATTGCTCTTACAGTCTGCAAAAAATAATAAGTCGGATCCAATCAAAGATTAAGGAACAACGCTATCATCAACATTAACTGAAATAGATAATTAGATAATTTTAGATTATACTGTCCGTTATACATAAAACGCACACGCGAAAACGTATTCTGTGCTTGCGCGCACGCGTATGCGCAGTGGTAAATTGTCTTATGCGCATGTGTCAACGCGGCGCATGCGCAGAAAGTTTTTAGCTTTGAGGTCCGGATTATGGGTGTCCGAATTAACAACTTTTGACTGTATCATATTCTGAAAGCCTCTAAAATCTGCACAAGATATCACTTTTTAAGGGAAAATCAAGTAGTGAAGCAGAGAATTCCAGCCTGTGTGAACTTTCTTGAATAATTTGAATTCATGTTGAAATGTGATGCTGTATTAAATGAGCATGTTTAAAAAGCACCAAAATTTGAAAGACAAGTTACATATTTTTGCAAAGACATTTAAAATAAAACTAAAATTATCTCTACTATGAAAAATTATTTTAAAAGAAAAAAACATTATTCAGTAGTAGCTTATCTGTAACTTTATTCAACAGTAGCTTATTTTTCCAAACTTTGTAGAAGAAAATTTTTCTGCCAAAAAAAGTTCTTAATAAAGTTAGGAAAAAAAAACATGAAAGCTGTATCTTTAGTAATCACCACCCAAATCTATGATTTTCTGGCAACATTTTGGTATTTTTCAAAGCCTTCGGTCCAGAAACTTGGTGGCCGCGTGTGCAAAAACAGATTAATCTCATTTCGGACGTCCTGCACAGAATGTAAGATAGCGCCAGATGAGTAGCTGCAGGTGTGAAGAAAAGTAGAAGTCCGAAGGAGCAATATTTGGGCTATGTAGCAGAGTGGCAAAACATCCCATTCGAGTCCAACCAGTGAATGCAGACACATGTAGTCTTGCATTGTCTTGATGAAACATGATCTTTTTGTGCCAGAACTCAATTTGACATTTTTCCTTGATAGTAGTTTTAATATAGACTAGCATCTTGCTGTACTCTGTATTATCGAGGGTTTTACCTTTTTCCAGATACGTTTTGTGGGATAATACCATGGCAGTCCCACCAGATACAAAGCATGATCTTCTTGTTAGTCAAATTGCACTTTGCGACACTGCTGATGGGCTCAACCAGGTGTAGACCAACCCCCTTTTCAGCCTGTACTGTTGAAGTAAATTAACTTTTCATTCCAAGTGATGAATTTTGTCCTTGCATTGATATTTGAGCAGATTAATGCAGGCCTGAACAAACCTGTCCTTATCTGCTTGAGTAAGCTCATGCGGCACCCAGCAATTCAACTTGTACATCAAGTTTATGCGACTCATACCTTGACTAAAATGGCCTAATGTCTAACTCCTTAGCAAGCTCTAGAGTGGTTGCATACTGATCTTCTTCCACGAGTTCTCGGAGGCGGACCTCATCAATATCAGTATACCAGCAAGAGCATTTTGTTTCTTGAATGTCATAGTCCTTATTTTTTAACTTTCAATACCAAACCTTCACAGTGTCATGTGATACAAAATCAGAACTTAAAGCTGTATACATGATTTGGTGACATTCTGTAGCTGACGTTTTGCAACAGATCTGGAATTAAATGATAGTTTGAATCTGGTAGCATTATTGTTCCATTTCAGACACCTTGTACTTAATAATAACAATATATATATATATATATATATTTTTTAATTTCACAAGACTGTTCTAAAGAAAGTTTTTTTTTTTTTTTTTTTTTTTTTTTTTCCCCCAAATGCCAAAACCTGTTTTACAAAATATGATTAAACATGTCAACGGGAACAATGTTTGCACAGATGATATTTGAGGGAAACTTTCATTAAAAACGCAATATTTGCAAATTTCCAATTTCTTCCAATTGTAATTTAAATTTAGATTATTTTTCATAATCAAATAAGTTTAATAGTATCTTAAACTAGAAATTATGTAAAGATTGTGTTGTGATATAATTCTGTTTCAAAATCCAAACCAAAACTTTGAATCTTAAATTGCAAGGTACTTACAGATACACAAACTAAGTGAAGAGTAACTGAACTCTGGTTGTTTGACCAAGATTCGAATGCAAGCATATGGGCTGGCATCATGGCAGTTTTGATGGTTTTCTCCATGCATAACCTGGCTATGAGCCAATTTTTCTTAAAAAGTTCTCCATCAAGGCATCCTTCCCCATAGCTCTGTAGCCCTCGAGTTGCTTTGCCTTAATCAATTAACCTAACCTACTAAGTACTTAAATGCTAGTGCCATTTACTTTACTAGAATTCTCCAAAATTTCAGAATGGGTAAAACATTCTAACAATGTGTATAACAATTCTTCAGGTGGACATGAAAGTAACAACCCTTCAGTTTTAATAATTAGTATAGCCATTTTTATATGTGTTCTTTTTGGCTGTATTTTAAATTCCAGAAGTTTTTATAAATAAATCTTGATATTTGTTACCTTAGACTCCATTTTGAAATATGCATTTGTGGAATTTGGAAGCAATAGAAGAAATGGTAAAATTTCTGGAGAATGCAATAGTTTGCCACAAAATTGTTAATTAAAACTATTGCTTTGAATCTATTTCTTAAGCCAGTTGTCTGAAACTTGTGGACTGCATGCTGCCCCGAAAGCAATTTTGACACACAAATATATTTTAATTATATATTTGTTGCAAAGATTTCAAGATCTTAATTATTTGAAGGTCTGACTTTACATTATTATCTTTACCATTAAAAACAAACATGGATGACATACCAGAAAATCCATAAACTGAGCTAATTAATTTACAATGCAATGTAAATCTTATTCAAAGATTTGAAGATACAGATCTGATTAACTTTTATCCCCACTACTTCAAGTAATAAGTACACTCCGATAAAAATTTTTGCATTAAGAATAATTGCTTTGCTTGAGGTTACATTTATATGTGATCAGCTACAGAAAATGCAAATGCAAATCGTTGAAAGCAATGGAATTTTTCATCACAAAGTACTAATATATATATTTATACCATATATTATGTAAGAGATTATATACTGTATTATATAATAGATGTAAAGTATTTATACTTTACATTTGTTAAGAAATACATCTGTTATTTAATAGGCCAAAAAAATTTTACAAAAGTTAACTTTACATCTGTTAAGAAAGACATACTATTTTCACTGCCTGAAAAATCTGATTTCTATTTTGCTCGTGCTAAGACCATTTTGAAATTTAATTATTGTTTATCTGTATGGGCTATTTTAATTGCATATTTTTGAATTTAGTTCTTTATATTTGCTATCATAATGTATTAAAGTACATGGTGTAAAATGTTTATGTTCAGCTCTTTAAATTTTCTCGTCTTTTCAGACTTAGCCCAGAAATTGATGTATTAGTTTATACATATGGATTGCAAGTTTTAAATGATGAAGATTCATGGAACTATGTTTGGCAAAGATACCTTCAAGAAAGTGATCCAGATGAAGCACTTAATCTGCAGTATGCTTTAACAACTGTCCGGAATGCAACTTTGCTTGAAAGGTTTACAATCATTTCAAAGTCATGAAATATTTTCTTTAAATAAAAGTGAAAGAATGAATATGATGCACTTAACGAAAGTATTCATATATAAAAATATTACAAAATAGGTTTATGTAATCTTCCTGTGAATGAAACCTTTTATGAGAATGTAACTAATTATTTAGTTTGTTTTATATAAGAAGTATTTATAGAGTCATCATGTAAAATTTTTGACTTGTTATAAAAAATAAAGTATAGTAGAATTCTGACAACTACCTGGATGATAAACAAAAAACTAAAGATTTGAAAGCTTGATTAAAATAATCGAACACCATTGATAGCTAATTTGGTTTAAAGAGTGTGTGTCTGTAATACAGCAGTTTCTGAATTACATGTGTAATTCAAATTTTCTGCATTATTTATTAAACTAATGTGATATGCATGTCTTTTTTAACTTTAGATAAACAACCTTGAAAACAGTTTTTATTCATATGTATTACATCATTAGTGTTTTACTTATATTTTCGCATTAAGGATTGTTTTAACTGGTCATTGTCATCCAATTTTCTGATTATTTTGATTCAGTAACTATTTACACCCTAAAGGGTTTTTTTGGGAGGAAGAGAGGAAGGTTTACTCAACTGCATTGCATAGCATTGAACTTCGATCACAGCATATTCTAATTGCTGATGATAATTTACGTATAAGTTTTTATTGTCTTTAGAAAAGAAATTAAAGTAATATTGTAAAATAATACTTTTTTTAAAGCAAAAGAAAATTATAAAATGTATAGAAATAAAAACAGAAAATACAGAAAGACTAGATGAAATCAATTGATACATTTAGAAAATCAGGCATATGTCATCATCACATAATAATCTCATTTGTTTAATGGGCTACTTCTTGATCATAACTGTATGTATAAAATGTGACGTTTGGTAGGTAATGAAATTATGATATGTGATAGGATTATTTTCATTGAATAATGTAACAAGTTCGTAGTATGATAATTCTGATGCATTTTCAAGTAATTAAAAGATTAAATCTTTTGGGGGGGAGGGGGTAATATATTTGCATTCTTGGGACTGTTAATCTTTTATCTAATAAAAGGTTATAAAAATTTTAATTACTTTATATTACACTTTTTGTTAAAAAATTCTTTTAAAATCTTTGGATCTTCTGAATTGAAACTTTGGCTTGCAATTCAAACTTATACTATACTTTTAAAAAGAAAAGAAAATAGAGTATAAAAAAAAGCCTAAATTTCATTAAATTTATGAATTAATCATAAATTAAAGAAAAATAAAATAAGCTTTATGAACATATATTACTTAAAACCAGACAAAAGAAATAGGCTTTAACAATATTTAACTCACAATAACAATTAATGATGCATACATATTTTCTGAAAACACCTTTCTGAAGTATCCAGATATGAATATAAGTTTGCATTATTAAGTACTATATTTCAGGTTGGTGGAATTTGCAAAAAATGAAAGCTTGATTCGCAAGCATCACTACTTTTCTCTACTGCGAAATATAGCTGGAAATCCAAAAGGTTTTGCTCTTGTCACCCAGCTGATATATAATAACTGGACTGAAATAGTCAAGTAAGTAGGCCTATTATTCTGTTTTAATGTTACTGACTTCTGAAAATATCTAGTTTTATAAATCATAATTTTTGTTAGAAAATATATAATTTCAGATGTATTAAAAATGTGTATGAAATGGGAAAAGGATTACAGTCAAAAGTCTTTAATCCGGACTCGTCGGGACTTCGGCGATTCCGGATTATAGATCATCAGTTTAAATCTGGTAAGATGGCATGCAGAAATTATAAAATTAAAAATATGAAACCATAATTTATAAAATAATGAGCAATTATGATCTAAAGGGTATCAAAATTTACAAAAAAAGAAGCTTAATATCTATTTGTTTACTTTATTAAACATTTCTTTCAACGCGCGCATGCGTAAAGCATACATTACGCATAGCCGAAATTAGAAAATTGCAACCAGAAAACTATTTGATTTGTATTCGTGATATTTATAATGACGAGGAATTTGATTTAAATCATATCAAAGACAGAGTTTCTTGGGACTGTTAATCTTTTATCTAATGAGATGAAATACTACATTTAGTAAGGAAATTATAAGCTGAATAAAATAAAAACATCTGCCCTGAAGATAACAATTGTGCTGACAGATCAACTTCCAGTTCATTGCACGCTGCGATGCCCCCCCCCTTCCCACGCAGAGCAGCGTGAAATTGATAAACAGATTTCGGGATGGTTAGATAAACAAAGGATATGCCTGTATCCATTTTTTGTAGCAATACCACTTTTTGTTTGATGGACATCGAAACATACTTTCGTTTTGTAGATCCTTTGGGAGCTCCAGCATCGGAAATTCTATTTGACATAATCAAAAGTTCAAGCTTACTTTTATAAAATTGCTCTTACAGTCTGCAAAAAATAATAAGCCGGATCCAATTCGAAGATTAAGGAACAATGCAATCATCAACATTAACTGAAATAGATAATTAGATAATTTTAACCGTCCGTTATACATTAACGCGCACGCGAAAACGTATTCTTCGCTTGCACAGACTCATATGCGCAGTCGTAAAGGTCTTGCGCACACGCGTAAATGCCTATGCACATGCGCAGAAAGATTTTAGCTTTGAGGTTCAGATTATAGATCATTCCGGATTATGGGTGTCCGAATTAACGACTTTTGACTGTATTATGTGAAATTATGTGTAAAGCTGCTTGGCTTTGGTTATCAAATTACTACCAAAAATATCATCTTTCTTTGAGAAATATATTCACATACAAAGTGACGTAATCCAAAAAATATACCAACTGATAAACCATTAATAACATAAGTTTGAAATCCAGACTGTATTCCATTATATTTAATATTTAGAATGGTAACAGTTCTTTTTGATAAATGAAAGGACGCGAAATGCCAATATAACAAAATCACTTTAATAAACATAACAGAGTATGAATTAAAGCATCACAAACGACAATCAAACAAGTAGAAAATATCTGCATGGGAAAAAATAGTAACTTTTCGATACGCAATCTTTTGTGGAAAGCTAAAGTAGCTAAGCAGTGGTATAACAGAGTATGAATTAAAGCATCACAAACGACAATCAAACAAGTAGAAAATATCTGCATGGGAAAAAATAGTAACTTTTCGATACGCAATCTTTTGTGGAAAGCTAAAGTAGCTAAGCAGTGGTATAAAATATTATAGTGCATGCAAAATTTTACTGTAGTTTTCATTCATTTATATACCGCCTCTGAAAACATTTATGTGAGCATTTGTCCAATATTTTTTCAAATGATCAAATAATTTTTCTTTTAAAAATTAAGTATGTCTATGTTGTTGAGATGGATTAATTATTGATTGGTTAATATAAGGATATTTATACGTATTTTATTTATCAGTGGGCTTATTTACATGAGCTTTTTTCTGTGTGAGCAATTTTCCATGTGAGGTTTTTTTTTTTTTTTTTTTTTTTTTTTTTTTTTTTTTCTGTGTGGGCTTTTTTCCTGTGAGCGTTTATACCAGTGAGCACTATTCAGTGAACATTTTTCCTGTGGGTTTTTTTCCTAGAACTTCAAAAAGAGTTCTTTTTTTTTATGGAAAAGTATTTTATGGAAAAAAGATTTTTATGGAAAAGTATTTCAAATGCGTATATTTATTAAACTGTATAACATATGAATATGAAACTTTACAACATATGTATGAACTTCTCAAGTTCAGATTACAGATGTTCAATATGTTCTCCATCAGCGACATGACCAATATCACATCCATATTCAAATTCCTCCCATACTCGAGCAAGCATGTCCGTCGTCACTGATGTTATGACAGTACGGATCCGGTTCTTCACCTCTTCCAAGTTCTGTGGGAGTGGTGGTATATAAAGGATGTGTTTAATGAAACCCCACAGGAATAAGTCACACGGTGTCAAATCCCGTGACCGTGGAGGCCAGCTGAGACATGCTAAGCTCTTTGACGACCAATCCAATGGTTCAGTAGAGTTTCATTCAGATAATCACGCACTTGGTGACACCAGTGAGGGGATGCCCAGTCTTTTTGAAAAATGTTATCTTTTGCACAAAACACATTGATTTGGGGCAAATCTCATACATGTTCAATGACTGCATGTGGGTTCTGTAGGCCCCAAATCCGAACATTGTGTTTGTTTATATGACCACTAACATGAAAAGTAGCTTCATCACTGAACACAATGCGTTGTGCAAAAGTGTTATCATTGTCAATAGCATCAATAATCTCGTTACAAAATACCACATGTTTGCGCTTGTCATCAGGGCGCAGAGCCTGTAACAAATGTAACTTGTACGGCTTCATAACCAATTGTCGTCTCCAAACACGCCAAATTGTTGCTGTAGGCAGTTGTAACTCCCAACTGGCACGAGGAGTTGATTTTGAAGGACTATGCTGGAAAGCAGTTTGAATTTGTGCAAAATTTTGTCGGGAACATGAGGGCAGCCAGGACTCTTTCCTTTACATACACACCCTGTATTTACAAACTGTCGATACCATCTGTGAGTATTCGGAGGATCACTTTGATACCTCAACTTGAAACAACTTTGCACTGTAATCACGGAATTGCACTTTGCAAACTCGAGAACACAAAATGGTTTCTGCTGCGGAGTAGCCATTTTAAAAATGTGACTATTACCACGCAAAACAGAAGACAACTGATATCTAGTCTCTATTAATATAAACTAGACTACGTATTCGTTTAGCCAATAGCCGAGCAGAGGTGCAGTGATTGATAGTTTGGACAAAATAATACTTTGTAATACGTATACTCTTTTTGAAACATGGTGTATTTAATCTACACAGGGTACCAACGGTACCAATTATCTAAGCAATCAAATGTGTTGAAGCCAAGCCTCTATGAGCACATATTATAGGAATTTAGGTAATTGAGAAATAGTATTTAGCTCAATTATTGCTATATTTGATGTAATTTTAATGTGTATCAGTATTAGCTTTGACAGTTTTCCTGTGTACTGAAAGAATGTTTTAATAATTGTCTTTCAAGTTTTAATTGGTGTTTTTTATATTCTTTTGTTAGAATACGTTGTTAATTTTAAAATTTTTTAATTAAAATAAATTATTTTTCCTTTTTATTAATGAATTTTTCTTATCTTTCTAGGAGGCATGGTATTCACAAAGCTGAAGTGTTTGCTTCAGCTGTATTCAGTCGATATGAAACTGAAAGAGATTTAGGAAAGGTGAATTTAAATATATATATATATATATATATATATTATCTATATATATATATATATTATTTTTTTTATAATCTTCTGCATAATCAGCTAAATACAGAATTTTTGCTACAAGTATGTGTAGGGTTTAACAGTAAAAGTTTTATATTATTGCTTTCAAACCAAATTCAAAAAGCCATTCTAAAAGTTTTCCCAAGCTAGATGACTGTCATATTTTACCACAATGAGGGTGCATCAGTAAACTTGTATAATGATTTTCAAAACCAAAAGACGGCCATGTTTTATGATAATAAGTTACTTCAATAAGCTTTTATAACTAAGCATTACATAAGTGCAGTAATTTTTTTAACTGAGTTGAAGAAACTGGACCTATATTTTAAGACTTGATTACTCTTTAATTTGGTATACCAACTCCACTTTTGTTATATTTATGGAAAATATTATAACAATGAATTTATAAATGTAAGATAAGTAATTTAAGGCTTACTCTCAACTCTCAGCTTTGCTGGTTATACTGTTTCTTGAAATTAATACACAATTAAGTATTCCAAATTCATAAATAATAAGTACCTGTATGAGAATTGATTATTTTCAATGATACAGCATTCATATTTGATTAGCATTTTATTAAAAGCCCTTTTAACCTTTCATATTACTCCCTAGCTGTATTCAGCACTAAAACTTTACTGAGATTATAAGATTGTGCAGGGGCTTTGTTTCCACATGCTCAAAGAATTGGCTAAAATCTTTATCTCCTTAAGTTTTGATTTTAGACAAATGTTTCCCCTGAACAAAATTAGTTAACCTTCCATTCTTTGAGTTGGGTAAAACAAACCCATTAATTTTTATTCTTTTATATGATTAATACATGGTATGAAATGATCTAACCTTCTGTTATCTTAAATAGTGGGTTCGCTGTCAAATTCTATTTTTGTTTAGTTAGCTATTTTAGTTTCCAAAATACAGTGAACTCTTTCTTAGAAAATTCTCCTCAAGACATTCAATCTGAAGATGACCAGTATTTCCGAAAATATAAGTAAGTATTAAACATCACCTTTCTAAGATAACCACTTCCATAGAAGACTAAATTCATCTAGTGATTTGGTCCAGAGGGCTCACTGTAATTGTATGTTAATTTTATCCTGAGTAATTCTTTACAACTTATGGGATGAGTAATTTTGTCACCTAACGAATATCTACAATAACTGTATATTTCTGAACTTTTATGAAAATTTTAAGTGCTAAACATAATTTTTAAATTTCAAAATAAAATTAATGTTAAATTGTCTCAAAATGCAATGATTTTTACAATCTCCAAAAAGATAAAATTGTATATCTTTTGAATAACACATTTTGGAGGAGAAAACACTTAATGATTCTTATTGAGCTCATACAGATTATGTGACAGACAAATAAAAATGCTAATTTCATAAAGTGATAGTGTAGAAGAATTTAATAAATTGAATAAATATAAAATAGTTTTTACTCTATAAGTAGTTAAAAAATTCCTTACCTTTATCAGCAAAATTATGTTTTTTCAGAACAAATTTACTAATTAGTATTTTCCTTTGCAAACAACTGGCTTAGATTCAAAGCTTTTGAGGACATTATTAGAAGCAATTATAAAATAGAAGTGATTTGTTTAGTTAATTAAGGTTAAATTATTCAGCCTTAGTTTACATTTTTTGGTTTACATGGTTAAATTATTCAGCCTTGGTTTACATTTTTAGCTTTGTGTATGATTTGCATTTGAAAGTATGTACAAAATGTGTCTTTACAAATTTTGTATGTTAAGATGTAGAATTTTTATCTAATGAATGCATAGTTAAAATTTTACTAACTGTAGTTTGTATGATACAGAGAAATTCAAATACAACTGTACATAGAATTCAGAAGTACATACTCAAGATCAGTACAAATATAAAGCTTTTAGCTATTTTTTTTTTTTTTCCTGCATATGTAAACTCATTATAATCTTGCATTCGACAAACTGTGTGAGTATTTATTAAATTAATAATTTCAATATGTAAGAATACAAAATAGGTACTTTTTCCTTTCGACGGCGCAAATCTCGCCGAGCAGACTTTGTTGGCGACAACATACAGCATACGCACAAAAAATTTGAACAAATGTTAGTCGTAAGAATTTTTTTTTTTTTTTTTTTTGAAGGCATAAACATTTTAATATCATTTAAAATTTTGTAAAGCAATAAATTTGTAAAAAGGCATTAATTTAAGAATTTACTATGGTTCATGATGGTTAATATCCCGTTCATATCACGTGACTCTACAAAAATCTAATTCTCTCAGTTATTATCTACATTAATTTCAATTTAAATCTTAATTTAAAATACAAGTTTAAATACAAAAATTATTTCAATGTCTACGAATAGCTTATTCAGAAATTATGTAAAACCATAGTACTTTTCTTCGCTAGTGCATTCTTACTAAGAATTTATAAATTTAACCCTTGACTTTGCCTGTTCTATATTTTTGCCTTCGGGTGAACGATGTGATTGCATCCTAATTGACTTAATTACCGCGAATGGCTTTAGGGCATAAAATTGAACTATCTGGTAAAACTTCTATGTGATTATATGCCAGTATTGAAAGAAACAATCAATCTGATAAGAAATGGCTGCGACTTGTTTTGAAAATGAGGCTACCAGCAAGGATATTCCGTTTAGCATCAGTTGTACCATTATTGACGACTTTATCGCCTGCACCAGCAAAACGGAAAAGTACCAAAAAATAATAACAAAATTATTTAATATTGCCGAAATATGTAAAATGGACATGTCCTTGCAGCTAAGTAAGATAATAATAGAATCTTATTCAATATGAATATTCTTAAAATATTCTTCAGAATATTATTTTAAAATTCTCTAGAATTATTATTATTACTTCTGAAGAAAATATGACGAAAGTTTGTTTTTTAGGTCAAACAATTCTACAGAAAGCACAAGAAAACCAAAGATGCAGAAATTTCACGAACTCATGCTATTGAGAATATTCTTGAAAATATCAGATGGCACAAGAAACACAAAGACAGCATAAAAACTTGGATGGAAAAGAATACATATATGCCATGGAATCGTATCCGACTGCCTAGACATATAATTCCAAATCATTACAACTTGAAATTATTGCCAGATATTATCCATTCTACATTCAGAGGAGAAGTTGAAATAGAAGTTAATGTCACAAAAGAAACTGATTATATGCTGATTCATGAAAGTAGTCTTAAAATTCAGAGAACAGAATTAAGAAATGTGGAATTTAATGAAAGTATTTCTATTGATGAAGCTTATCCTTTCAGAAGAAATCATTTTTTGGTGATCCGTTTTGCAGAAGCATTGCCAACAGGTGTTTATGTATTGAAAATTATATTTTCTGGAAAGTTTGTACATGATGGTAATGGGATGACTCGTTATTATTATATCCACAGAGAGACTAAAGAAAAAAGGTAAGATAAATTAATGTTAATAACTAATTGCTCATTATTACAGTTTATTTACAATCAATTCACATAGTAATGTTTAATTGAAAATGTAATACCAAAACAGGTATGTTATTACAAGGAAAAGATCTACTTAATAATATACTTGTCATGAAATATATTTCTGTTTAATACTAAAGAGTGGACTTGGTGTAACTATTTTTTCATTATTTGTAACAGCTCCAGTTATTCCTCATGCTGATGGTCAACATTTCCTATTTTATCATGCTGAAAAGAATCTTAATTCACATCATTTTAGTGACATACTTATCATTCATTTCAATTATTAAATGCTTTTGATGATACATTTTGATAAATTGCCTGTCTATTGAATTGAATTGATATTGAATCTATGTCAGAATTTTTTTCGTTCAACTAGATTATGAAAATGCTGTTGATTAATCCTCATTTTTATGAAAATTAATAAATCTGAGCTCTAGCTTTAAGGTCTCCTGTTACCTTTATCCCCTTTGAAATGCCCCCTTCTCTAACTGCCTCTAAAAAAGGAAGAAAAAAAACAGTAGCAGTGATCAATGGACCAATAGGATAAATATAAGGATATTCTCCTTATATTTTATCTAATTGCAATGTTCAATTAATTTATACTTAATTTTTTTAATGCTAAAGAGAATTAACATTTTTATTCTTTTGAGAACATGGGCTGTTCAATTGCAGTGCATAACTTTCCTTTCTAAAGTTCTATCTTTACTTGTAACTAAACTGGCCAGTTTTCACTTGTTTTGATCATTACCATTTAACTGGAAGAACTAGGTCATAAGAAATTTAATTTTTTTTAAGCTTCTTACTAATGGTATTGCTCTTGTATCCTAATATTGTTGTTTGTATTCATGAAAGTGTTCTTCTTGTGTATAAAAAGATTAAAAGCAAATAATTTTGTCTCAGAAAAGGGTCTCTTTAGTAGAATCATTACAGAGCATGCATAAGCAGTCAGTGAGGTCACTTCAGATCAGCACATTGTGTTCTTTTACACTCATTTACAATTTTAACAATCAGTAATTTAATTCTTTTAAGTTTTACATATATCAATATATCAATATATATATCAATTTTACATATATCAATAATTTCAAACTATATGATGCATGTTAATTATCAAAGTAACAAATAAAAGATAAATATCCAGGGAACTCTGTCATGGCAATTGCTTTCCACAAATGAGTGGAATTGAGTACTGTTTCAAAGAATATAAAAATCATCATTATTGAATATCATCTCTATAAAATTACTTTCTCCAGTAAAGACCAAAATCACCTGCAACTATGAGTGTTCATTTTTAAATAGGTTTACTGTAATTCTATTTCTGTGCTTGTCCACCATATCTTTGTGACTTTAAATTTTAAAAAATGTTATTATAGGCTAGATTATTATTAAGCTAGATTTTTCATCAGTTGTTTTTGTCTGTACAGAAAGGAGTGTTACATGTATCATTTCAAAATAGGATGATAACCTAGGTACAGTGTCAGATGTTAAGAATGAAATTTTATAGATTAAGTATAGATACAAACTTCTGTTTATATTTCTTTCTTAAATTTTATTAAAATAATCATTAATAATAGTCTGGTATTTTCTAATAAATAACCTTTTAGTGTTCTAAAAGAAATTCTGAAACAAAAATCATAGCTTTCAAAAGTGAAATTCTTTTTTCCATTAAAATTTTAAAACTAGCATTAAGAATTTAGTTTTTAATTTTATCAGTTAGCAGCTATCAGTATTATTTTTATTTATTTAATGATAAAATTCTTTCTGATACTCTGCAATCTGAAGTTTACAGATTCGAATTTTATTATTATTTTTTGTTAAAGCTATATATTTATTTTTGTTTTGTGGATACAGTGTTATAAAATAATTTTCTATTTATTTTTGTTTCCCATTATAACATTCATCAAACTTAAAAAATCTCTTTAGTAGTCTTTCTGAGTATTTTCAGTTACAGCAGAGCATGAAACATATTGCTGTTTTCATGTTCAAAAATATTTTTTCTTCATAACTAGATCTCTTTGATGAAAATTATAGCATATCACTGTGGAAAAGAGACCACAGTTATCAAAAAGTGTCAAATTAATAATACTATTGTATTTTGATGTATTAAAATTAAATTTTGTTATTTAACTATTATATGAGGTTTTTGTAAAATAAAAAAATATTAAATGGAGAATAATTTATTATTACAAGGCTTGATCAAATGAAAAAGTACGAAACGACGTAAAAACGTAACAGTTAAATATTTGCGTATACCGCTATGGGAAAACGTAGCGAGACATCTCGGGACGCGATTGGAGTCTCTGACTGGGATCGAAGCATGCGCAGGAGAGAGCAGAGGCTCTTATCAAAAGCGCCGTCCAAATGATGCGACCGTCCGTATGAGGACAGGATGGCGTTTGCATTGCAAAATTCGACGACTGAGGAGCAGCGAGGTGTTATCCGATTTCTGACAGCGGAAGGTGAGAAACCGGCAGCTATTCATCGCCTGATGGTGACAGTTTACGGGGAGAAATGTGTCTCCAACAAGTCTGTCAGAAAATGGAGTGCCCGTTTTCGTGCAGGCTGTGAGAGTGTGGGTGATGACCCGAGACCAGGCCAGGCAAACACTGTCATCACGAGCGATCTCATTGACAAGGTGGACGACCTAGTGAGAAGTGATCGGCGTGTCACATTGCGAATGTAGGCGGTGAAGGTGGAGGCCATCAACAGGCAAGGAGTTGCTCACCGTCTTCTTCGACATTCAAGGTCCGCTACTTGTGGAATTCCTCGAGCACAGAAAAACCATTAGCTCTGATGTGTACTGTAAGACACTCCGATGCCTACGCAGGTTCATCAAGAAGAAAAGACCGGGGCTGCTCACGGAAGGTGTGGTTCTGCTCCATGATAACGCGCATCCACACGTCTCCAGAGTCGCACATGGAAATGGCCAAGTTCAAGTGGTAGACGTTGGACCATCTGCCCTACAGTCTGGACATGTCGCCTGCGATTTCCATGTATTTGGTCCACTGAAGAAACACCTGAAAGGGAAGCGCTTTAACTCAGACGATGTACTCAAGGACGCTGTGAAGGACTGGGTCTCGTCACGGCCACAGGAAATCTGAGAACAAGGAATCCTGCGGCTTGTTCATCAGTGGAATTGTTGTGCTCAAGCCTATGATGTATATTTTGAATAAAATCTACATTTGTACGCACCGTGTCATTTCGTACCTTTTCATTTGATCACCCCTTGTACATATAATATTTGTTGTGGAAATATAGCTTATGAGGCTAGTTAAAACCTAATACAATTCATCCAAAAAAAAAACTGAATTTCTTAAACTTCTGCATGATACAAGGCTAACAAAGACATAAGTATCATATATTCTGTAAGCCATGTTATTGAGACAGACTGTTGCTACGTTGCAGTCGGTTTTATATAAAAAAAATACTTATTTTTGAATTAAGGTACTTTTTATGATGAAATTTGAAGTCATTTAGCCACCAATGTAGCATTATATGTGGAAGGTTGGTTGGTTGCAGATCTCTTGCTCCTTAAGCCAGGCTAAAATCATCATATTCAAACAGCCCTTAAATCATCATATAATGATATTTTCCCCATTAGAAGAGCAATGAAAGTTACTTAACAATATGATATGCTAGGGCTACAGATATTGGGTTCTGGTGGGTTGGTTTATTTAAAGTAGATTATGAAAAGCAAGTATGGTCATGCACAATATTTCACATGTAGCTAAAATTCTTATAAATCTAGTTTGTTTAGTTCGGTCATTTAAAATGTTGCTTTTTTGGTATATGGTTTCTTAGAGAAATAAAGGCAAAGCAAACACAATTTTCATTTTGAAAGATAAATTCACAAATTAAAATAGTATTGATAAAAAATATAATTTTTGTTGTAGTCAAATTACATTATTATGAATAATATTTCTTCCTGTAAAAAGGGCCTCACTCACTAGAACATTATAACTGATTTATTTGCTACAGTCTAATTAGGTTAATCACTGCTAATTTAAACTTCTGTTATTTCTTTTAATTATTTTCCTTATTGTTTTTTAGATACTTGATTGCAACTCAGTTTGAACCAACAGATGCAAGAAAAGTATTTCCGTGTTTTGATGAACCAGATATGAAAGCAAAGTTTAAGCTAACTATTGTGCATGATGAAAAGTATATTTCGATATCAAATATGCCTGAAGAGGTATAAAAGTGTTAATTTTTTTAATTTAAAAGTATTTTTTAACTAGTTTTATGATGAATTTCATAATAATATTCTACAAAGCAATTAAATAATAAAAAAGAAGAAAGAAAAGAAATTGTAGCTATAAGTGCATGTTTGATAATATAATATATAATTATACAAAAATCAACTATTAAATGAATGTTGGTTTTATAGAAAAAATTCAGCAGTGTCAAAGAAGAAACTCATGAAATCTCTTTACTTCAAAAAGTAAAAAAGCGTTTTTGACTCAGTTTATGCCAATATGATATTATATATTGCTCAGAAGAAAATTTAATGTAATAAGCAATAGTTTAAGTGTATAGATACTCAGAACTGTAATGAGCTAATATTGTGAAATTATAGATAATACTTAACATTTTTTTTTTTTTTTTTTTTTTTTAATTTTATGCTGAATAATACAGCAGTATAATAGTCTCTGTAATCTAATTCATTATATTTTACTACTGTTCTATGGTTCAATAATAGTTTCAAATTAGATTTGCTTTATATCTGATGGATATTATTTAAAATAATAAAATGGTTACACACAGCTAAATGTAAGTATATAAATTTAATTTATTGTGATATAATAACAATAAAAATATGATTAAAACCTAGCTGACATCCTGCTCGCCCACACATTGTCAAAATCGATTCATGGAAGAACCACAGTTTACCAACCACCGGAAGAAAATTTTTATTTTTAGTTAAATTCTTTAAGTCTGTATGAGTAAATAAATATTTTTTATGTGGCAAAGCATTTTAATTGCATGGTTTACATAACTTTTCCTTTCTGCACATGATCAAGCATCAACTGTAAATTTGCCAAAATTCATGCTTTTCTTAATATATGAATTGAAATAAAATTATTTTTTCTTTATTATCCTAAAGAATGAGAAAGGTTTTAAAAATTCTGTAGTATATATTTATGTATTTCAGTATTGCAAAAAGTTTTCTTAAATTCCCAGCTTAATCATTTCAGATCCTTTAAAAAGTGAAAATATTTCAAAAAGACATTTGTATTATTTGTCTAAATTCACTGAGGCTTTTATTTGAGCTAAATGTAAAATGCATATTCAATTCTCCCCCACTCCCATTCAATGCTGGTACATGTATAAAGGTTGGCATGCTCTTATGTACTTACAAAATTATGTTCATGTGAAAAAAATAATTTTTTTGACTTATAATTCTTTGTATTAAGGCAGAGGCATAAGTAGAATATATTGTATACACTTTATACACCTTTTTTTATTTGTTTTGTTTCTGTCCCTAGTTATATGACTGCAAAGTAATAAAACATTTTAATTATTTTCAAATTTCGCATTTCAGTGAAAATCATTTTTCTATTCTTTGAAGAGATTCCAGTGGACTATTGAAGTTGTAATTACATTGCAGGTTCTTAGTTTTATTGCTTTTTTATCCCATTAAACTATAAACTACATTTAAAACTAAAATTATTACTTCAGTATCAGTTTTCTATATATCTGTAAAAAAAAGTCAGCTGTCTTGCAGCAAACACCTCCTTAAGTTGGCCACCTCTGAAGGTTACTTATATTTCTCAGAGCTTAAATGAACACTGGTGTTGAATATCAGCTCCCTAAAATCATCACCTTCACGTGAGACCAAAGTCATCTGGAATCATGGGTGGTGGTTTTAAAAAGGGTCCACAGTAGTTCAGTTTCTGTTGTAATGTAGTTTAGAGATTTGAAAATAAAATGATTTTCATTATAACACAAAAATATTGATCTTTTGCATTTTATTTATTTATTTATTTTTGGCATGTATTTTTATTTGTTTGTTCAATTTTTATTAGTTTTATTTCTAAACTATTCAGTTGTATTCCAGTGCTACACTCAAATTATGAAAAGAAATTTATCGCTGATGCATTTTGATTTTTTATTAGTGTTGATACTTTTCATTTGTTACTGAAACTCTTTTACTTATGAAAAACATTAAAAATACATATTTATTAATTCTTATTTTAGGCTAGAAATAACTTGAATGACAGTATGGTTGAAACAATTTTCAGTGAATCAGTTCCTATGTCAACATATTTAGTATGCTGTGTAGTCTGTGATTTTGAGTATTTAGAAGCTGAATATAAAGGTAAAAAGGTAAGTTTTATGCAGAATGATAATTAACAATAAATTTGAAAAGCATTTATATTTTAGTTTCTTTATTTTTGAATTTAAAAGAGATCTTATTCTTCAGTTTATTTATTGATTCAGTACTTTAAATACTTCTGTTCAATAAATGAATTTTATATTTTACTGAATAGCAGTCATTTGATTATCTTTTAATTGAGAAATACCTATTTAATGTACTTTAATAAAAATCTGAAAAATAATTTAAATTAACTTTTAAGATATTAATTGAAAAATGTAATGGTTTCTTTTTTAATCTCTAAAACTTAATAAAATTTTCCTGTATTATTTGTAAATCTAAAACATTGTCTGATTTTATGTTGTTTTTCCTTTTCAGATAAGAGCGTATGCTCCATCAGATCGAATTCAGGAAACTGAACATGGTTTGAATATGACAGTGAAAATTTTAGAGAAGTATGAAGAATATTTCAATGTTGATTACGTTCTTCCAAAACTTGGTATGACATAATTGCTTGACAAATTTATCATAAAAATTCTCTAACATAATTTAGGATTATCTGTTAATAATTTAAAATGTGTTAAAATATTATTTTATACTTTATAATTCTGTCTTTAGGGTTGGCTTCAGAATTCTACAGCACATAAATCTGCGATAGCCCCGAAACTTTAGAGGGGAGAGTAACTTGCATAAAAGTCTAGCAAAATCATATATAAATGTTATTAAAAACAGGCTGAATTTCCTTCTGAAGCAATATTTCTATTTTATTTATTAATTTGTATTGTGCATACTTTGAAATTCCAAATTCGACGTCCTGTTTTATTGTGACATCCTATTTGTTAAAAGAGACCACAGCATTAAAATTTTTTTACATCTTGTAATCTGATACAATATTCATCTCAATAACCATAGAATTTTGTCACTTCCGCCATTGTTAGCAGCTGTTAAATTCATTAAATTACCCCTACCTATAAACTAGCTAAATTTCATAACTTACAAGTCATAAGAAAATGAAATTTGGGAAACTGGTAACAAATTTTGGAGGCCTGTAAGGTGCAGATCTGCTAGATCTGAGATGATCATCTCAAAGATGCTGGCTATCGTTCATGATCAAAATTTAGAAGGAGAATTATCTTATATTCCCTCTGTCCAACACTAAATATCTGATTTAGGGTTTCTGTTTGTCCATTAATAAGTGCTTGTATTCTAATCATTTAACTCGGCATTATTTATTTTACAAATTATAAAGCATATTTCAGAAGTTATATTTATATAATAATTATATTGAATTTATTATACCTTGTATTTTTGGCACGAGATGCCATTGATATTAAATCATGATTAAGCATTAATAATGAGTGATATAGAATTTAGACATTCATTTAAGTACAAATATAAGTTGCAGTATTTTAAACTGTAATTTAGATTTATTATGCTTCTTTTAAGAATGTGTTCCCTGGACATTATTTCTACTGTCCATATTATTTCTACTGCCCATATTCAGATCATAAGGAAATCTGAATTTTTCGAGAGGGGAAATACTTTTAATTTCCAAATAATGAAAAATAATGTTTGCAAAAAATCAAGTAATTACATTTATAAGTATCATGCTTAACATCCATTTGTTAAAAATCAAGACTTACTTTCCTGAAGTTATTTTTAAAATTGTAAGTTGAACATATTTCTTGATAAGATTAATTAATTTTCTGAAATACTACTGTGAGTAAACAGTGTTTTAAAACATGAAAAATAGATCTTATTTAAAGCCAGCAGAGTAATTACTAAACTTTACATAATAAATTCTGTTTAGTAATTCAGAAACATTCACTGCTTATTAAAATATTTATCTAATAAAGTCTGTCTACTTGTCCTTATTATTTAGCTATTTGCTTCATCTTCGTAAGCAGTTTGAACATCATGAAATAAATTTATCATCTTATTATTATCATCTTTCTCTCCTGTTTTTCTGTCAGCTTCCTTTGCACCAGACTGCCAGCAGCATCTTCGTTAATCTTTGTGTTTCAAAATATATTGTTTTTACTTTGTGTTTTCCAAATATTTTTAGTCTAATATGAAACTCTAAAGATATGTGCAATTAAAAATAACAAAAACACATGCATATGTGCGCTAAACTGTCATGAACAGTATTTGTGCCACTTAATTTTTTTACCAGTTGTTGCATGTTGCCATTTGTAGATCCTAAAAATATCAGTACAAATAGTTTAGAAATGTACTGAACGATTTTAAGAGTGTTGCATCATAACTGCCAGACTTAGATGGTAAATTATATGCTGAGAAAGAGTAAAATTAATGATTCTGTAGTAATTATTTATTTTATTTTATTACTTTTTTTAAATAAAATATTGGGAATTTTTGCCTTCCCTATTATGTGCTTTTGTTGTGTAAGTGATAACATGTTTGGTTGACATTCGGAAGATCTGGAGTTTGAATCCTGGTGACAGCATAGTCGATTTTATGTGTTTCTTACTTCAGAAATCCTAGCAGACTTTACATAGTAAAAACAGAAAGCATAGATTCTTAATTTGCTTTGTTCTTAAAATGCTAGTGTGGTGTAGTGTTAATGCATCAACGTTGTGGTGTTGAACTCCAATGAAAACGCTAACGACGGAACACCACATGAAAATTTTATTGAATGCCCAAAAAATGGCTACATACCATCAACAAGAGAAAATCCTAAATCTTTTTCTTAAAATCAAATTCTATACATTTTACGTGCGAGAGCAATACGTGGCTCTCGAGTTTGTGTTTTTAACATTGCCAACAATTTAATTATTTTAATAACAACTATTTTAACAACTATTGAAAACGTATTTGTAAGTTAAATAATAATAATTTTCAGCTTATGCTCACGAGACATCCTTGTCCTTATTAATCTTCAGTTTTTTCTTCCTTTATGCGACCTTGTCACAACTGAGTTTGATACACAATTAGACATTTTAGTCTTTTCGGGCTAACTAGCATGATGTCCAGATTCAGCACCACAATAATTTTTAATCTTGCTTCAGATCTGAAATCATTTTGAACCATTTTTAACCTTTAAATATATACTATTTTTGAATATAAAGAAAAAAATTATTTTTTGGAAGTATGTCTAAAATAATTCTGTTGTGATATTTTTAAAGAAGATATGCAAATTTCCATAATTAATAATCTGGAAAAAAGTTCATTTAATTGTTTAAATAGAAAATCTGAATTTTCTTTAAGCCTAAAATACAGATTGTACAAAAAGGAACCAAAGAAATTTAGTTAAAAAAAAAAAAAGAGAGAGAGAGATTCTATCAGGTGTAAACCAAATTCAATGAACATCGAAGAAACAAACTTTTGAGTATATTTAGGAATAATTTGATGTATAGAACTGGACTATGTAAAAATTGGCATGCCATTTCAGAAACAAATCTGGTTTTGTATCAAAAAACATATGTCAGCATAATGCTATGTATACATATAATATACAGGGTGATTCAAAAATATCTGGAAAAATGTAAATGCAAGTAGAGGGGATAGTAATAAGTAGATTTTGTAATGGGAATGTGTGTGCAGAAATAGCATGTTGAGTTGGTACAGCAGTCTGTTGAGAAGTAGATAAATGCATTCTACTGGTTGAGAAGTAGATAAATGCATTCTACTGATATAAATAATCTTTCTCAGCATAAATTTCAAACAGTATGCATTGTTGCGTCAACATGCATTTTGTCTATGGAGCTGCAGCTAACATCAAACAGCTGTGCAAAGGAGGGGCAGAGAATAGTTCCTGAGTATATCCTCTGAGCAGTTTTTCCATATCAATCCACAGCTTCATGTTACCCATGCATGTTGGCATGCTTTGTGTTCATGTAGTGATGCATACTGCTTGAAATTACATGGTTACATGGAAAGGATAATTTATGCCAGTAAAATGCTTTTAGCAGCTGCTTGATAACCACACACATTCCATTATAAAAACTTGTGTGTTTCACCACCCTACCTGCATTTACATTTTTGCCAGATATTTTTGATATCTCTGTTATCTTAGCCATCCAATGTGAGACATTAAAAATATTTATTAATTGATTGAATAATTAAAAAAAGACATGAAGTTGTCTCTTTCTTCTTTTCTCCTTTGTAAAATGTATTCTAGTGAAATTCTGCATTTTATTACAAAATTTTGTAAAAAAAAATCTGAAAAATCTATGTAACTATCAAACATCATATAAGACAACTCATTAACTGATTATATGCAGGAGTGATTGCAGTTTGGATATAGACAGAATTGCTGAAATCCAATATTGCTATATCTGTGAAATCTTTCTTAAATTTTATTTTAGAACAAGTGTATCTTCCAGAGATTACATAAATTTAAAGCTTTTGGATACTTGTCATATACCGAAACAGTAGAAACTGATACTCTAAACTTCTGGGTTGACAGAAGGGGGAACACAGAAATACCTTCCTGCATTGGCACAACTGATTAAATTTGCTTTAATTTGCTTCTGTAGGCCCAGTGAATTTAACTATATTGGTGATAGTATGATAGATCGTAGAACGTCTTTGTATGCTGATAGCATAGATGCTGGCAGGTTGTGAAGTATTATTTATTCTCATTAAACAAAAATACATATGAAATTTTAGGGTCAGAAAATTTCTCCCAAGCCCAATTGGCAAAGATTTTAGGAATAATTTATCGAATAGCTGGCCAAGTTACTAAAATTCTTTACATTCTAAGAACTGTTCACTTCCTTTATGAACTCCTCATCTCCAACACAAATCTATTATTAGAAAATAATATGTATACTCAGGTTCTAATCTAGGTATGCTGTGCTTTAAGTGAAAAACCATCATTTACAGCAAAATGTCTTGCTAATTGTAAAACAATTGTTGCTGCTTGCATGTCTTGATTGTACTATAGTCTCTCGCCCCTTCTCTCCAAGCAGCAATTTGCAAAACTTGAACTTTCCCCAAAAACAAATTAAACATGCCAATTACTTTTTTAAACTTTAAGAAACTAAAAAGATAAGCAGTTTTGTGAGGTGATACAGTGAAGCATTAAATTAACTGATTTTTAATAAATTTATACTTTTTGGATAGTAATGAAATTGTTAGGAATGCATGATAAAACATGTATCACATTAATATCTTGAATTATTTGAGATTATAGCAGTTTTTCATATACATTTATTGCTCTTTTTCACTCATTTCTTTTTTCTCAATCTTGGTTTAGTTGCACCATTCCATTATAAAACCAGAAATGGAAATTTTTTTGATGATCTCCTTTCTTTGAGTTTCTAATGGCCTTTTTTGTTTCCTTGATGCTCTAAGCTCATACTTATTTTGCTTAACCCCTTTGCGCTGACTGTCACGTATACGTGCCAGCAACGAACACACTTACCTACCGGCCGACATGCAGGCATGCCAGAGGATTGTTCCGTTCTCTACCGACTGTCACATATTGTGCCAGTACTTTGGAACGTTTTTCAAACTATAATTTCTGCCACAAGATGGCACTGTATGTCCATATGGTTTCAGATACATGTACATTAGACCTTCTACTCAAAATGAGAGAAGCATGACTCACATACACGTGTTTTTGATTATATAAACAAACGGGGAAATAAATGTTTCCGAATGGCGTGATTTATGACGTCTCTTTAAATCGCACTTTATTCGCACGTGGTAGTTGTTTACTGTAAGTAGAGAAGTTTTATTTGCTCTAAAGCGTTGGGTATTTCGGTTTGCAGTTCAGTTTTTAGAAAATAATTAGATCTTGTTAGACGTGAATTCTTTGTTTTTACCGTTGCAATGTCAAAGCGTCGAAAATGTTTAACAGAGCATGAAATAGCAGAAATGATGCAAAATATTTCAGATATTGATTCTGAAATTCTGATATTTATTCTGAAAGATTAACTGAAAGACATTTTCCAAAACTTTGTTCAGAAGAGACTGATAAGAAAATGGGACGACGATGCTTCGTTTGTTCACATTCCCAGAAAAATCCTCCAAAACGGCAAATGAGTTATTACGAGTGCAAGGAATGTAACGTAGGACTGTGTGTAGATCCCTGTTTTCAAATTTTTCATACGAAAAGACAATTTTAAGTAAATGTGTAAAATATGCATTTAAACAAGAAATAAGGTAATTAAAATATATATATAAAAATATTTTTAAAGCATAAGCCGTTTAAATACTCTATAGAGCATTATTAAACAATGCGTTGATACTTCGGAAATTTCGTGGATTTATGCTTAGTAGCAAAAAAGCCCCCAGCCCTGGAGAGACGCTCGCGTAAGACACTGCCGGCCTCAGCGATAAGCGCGCGTTTTCGCTACCTGGCTCGAAGGGGTTAATGGTTAATCCAGCTCTGAGCATGGACAATGATTACTCACCAACCCTTAGTAAAAGAGAGAAAAACCATCAGCTTCCTTGTAATAACATGATGTTTGATACACAAGGTGCATATGTATATATATATGTTACTCCATATTTTGTCACCAGTTTGTCTAGTTAAAACTCATTAAAAATTTTTATCCATATTGCAAATGCTCATAAACCAAGTTACTGACAATTCAAAGTTTTACCATGAATGTGTTGTCCTTCAGTTGTAAATTTTGATCTCTGCAAAAAATTTGTTTAGTTTGTTTTGGGAGAAAGTTCAAGTTTTGCAAATTGCTGTTTGGAGGGAAGGGGCGAGAGACTATAGTACAATCAAGACATGCAAGCAGCAACAATTGTTATACAAATAGCAAGACATTTTGCTGTAAATGGTGGTTTTTTGCTGTAAAGTATGCAAATGTAATTGTGAAACTTTATGTAGTTATATAATCAAAATGGTGGTCATTACTTCCCTTAAGAGAGAGAAAAAGTGTTAGGATGTTATTAAAATAGCCTTAAACTGCAATGACTCCTCTCTAAGATATCCAGCCGTGGTTTCAGATAATTAAGATTTTATTTGTCTAAAGATATATATGGTCAGCTTAGATCTTATTTTAATTTGTGAAGAGCGTTAATTAAAATGAAAGGCTTTTTTTAAACTGTTTGCTGATAAATCATTTCACAGAGTCAGACTGCAAATTGTTTTATTGGATGATATTACTGAAAATTTACGATGGAGAACTGGAGAGGCAAAAGTGAAAATTTAGTATTGTTATTTGAAAACTATACAAAAATATTTTTCTTTTCCAGATTCAGTTGCAATACCGAATTTTACAGTCCCTGCTATGGAACACTGGGGTGTTATAACATACAACACCCGGAGCTTCCTTGTTGATGAAACAGTATCTCCTTTCAAGCGAATGGCAGACATTGACCGAGTAATTGCTCATGAGCTAGCATCAGGTAAAATGATTTCTTTTATATTTACCTACTACTTTCAGTGACTTAGATAGTTCTGATGATTACTCAAATTTGTGTAAATGCTGTAAATGAATATCAATTTCTGGCATCCATTAGCTACAAAAAATACATATAAAAGTTGCTATGGGCATTTATTGCTTTAAATATTGATCCTAAATATGTATTTCCAGTTACAAAGGTTCTCAAAATAAGGTGCAGAATTTTATGAAAATTGTTTCGCCTCTGTAACCAAGTTTTATATTTTATTAAATATAGAAGATTTTTTATGTGGTCTACATCAGGAGAATGCAAAAACTTCCCCAGAGGCAGGAAGCACCCCTTCTAATTGCTTAATTGGCCTATTTGCATCTCTTTCTTATCCAATTTTGTATGCAAACTTCCAAAATCAACAGCACAAGTGCATATCTATTGCAACAGTACATGTTGTAGAATCTTCTAGTATGTTTTGGAATCATACATTGTAGACTCTAGTTGAGACTAAATACCAATTCTTGCTAGGTCTTGGAAGAACAGATGACTGCAGAAGGAGGTTTAAATAACCTTTTTATTTGAACTTAACAAAAAATGCACTCACTCGGTGTTCACAATCTAACACCACTTGTGGCTAAGTAACTTAACAGAAAATAAGATGTAAAATTGCAATAAAATTGTAGGGACATTAACAGAAAAATAAAATGTAAAATCACAATGAAATTGTAGAGACATTAGGATTTTTTCGAAGCAAGAGACATGAAAAATGAGCAGTGCCCTCGCTGGGACTGGAACTTCTTGAATACATGCCGAGTGTGCTGATCATTACACCATGAGGACATGCTAGGAAGGTGGACAAACACCTTATATACTCCCCCTTTTAAAGAGTGACTGGGATTAGGGTACCCAGTCGCCAAATCCTGGTGGTGGAGAATTATCATCCACCACCTTTTTTAGTTCGGGTGCCACTGTTAAGACATTAGATTATTTCGAAGCAGAAGAAATGAAAAATAAGCAATGCCATTGCCAGGACTCAAACTACAGACCTCTCGTGTACGCACGGAGTGCGCTAACCATTACATCACGAAGGCATGCTAGAAAGGCAGGAGAAATACCTTATGAAGTAAGATTGGCTGCACAACTGGCTCCTTATTTATCTAAACTGCTAAATTTGCTGCACATAGCAAAGCCGAACCTAGAATATCAATATAATCTAAAAAGAATGGCTAAGCATCAACTATTCTTGTACAAAGCTACTTCAAACACGGGGCATAAATTCGGAACTAACCTCCTCCTCAAGTCTTAAAACTGCTGCTTAAATACCGATTCCAAACTTGCTTAGATTTACATTCTGCGTCATTAAAATTTGCATTCTGGCAGGAAACTGAAATCAGAAGGGAAACGAATGTTCTAAAATTAAAAAATAATTGGTTTGAATAAAATGAGGTCTTTACAATGTGAGCATATATATATATATGTATGACTGTATTAGCAATCAATCAAAGCTGAGAGCACTAGATATGCTAGACAGCATGTACATCTGCCAAAGAATATAGTCCTATAATATCTAGAAGCTTTAATTTAGAAATTAAGCAATGCAATATGAATATTGTGTAGATAAAGACTTATCAGAAAAGAGAGATTTTACTTCTAACATTTATTCTAGAATGAAACAGTATGTATGTAAATAATCAGTGGCGTAAATAAGGGTATGCAAGCAATACCGTCGCATAGGGGCCCGAAGGCTTAGGGGGCCCTTAAATGTCCTGTTGAACTACATTTACATGTTTAAACTTAAAAGACGAATTCTATTACATACATATAGAAGCTTTAATTCATTTTCCCCTGATGAGTTCGGAATTGGAGTTTCAAAAAAAGAAGATTGATTATTATTTATATATATTTTTATCTAGTATTTTTTTCCCTTTTGTATAGTTCTCACAATGTAATAAATGACAGTACTTGCAATATTATTATTTATATATATTTTTATCTAGTATTTTTTTCCCTTTTGTATAGTTCTCACAATGTAATAAATGACAGTACTTGCAAGTGCAGTCGCACCAGAGGCAGGGTAAGGGACAGAAAAAGTTTAGATTTAGAAGTACAATTGATATTACAAAATGGCAAAGTTAAAGGCAGATCGATTTTTTTCCTCGGTTTTTTACACTAATAAGCTGGAGGGGGGAGAATCATTCGTAAGTATCAATTGCTAACATCTAACTCCAGAATACATGCTTTTCTTTCTTAAGGACACAAAATCATTGACGTAAGTTGAGCAGTTGTGCTATGAAAGGACTTTGCCCCACCCACATGTCGAAATGCCAGACAGGAAACGCAAAGAATTTATGACACCACATTTGGAAAGGAGAGATTTCCCATTTGGCTTAGGGATCTTTGAATGAATTCAAGGGCCGAAAAAAGGGGGAAGTTTTACGACACACGAGCTAAGAACACAAAGTTTCATTCAGATGCTCAAACATTAAGCGGAGAAATATTTCAATTAATTTCCGAGGTAAATTGCTTTTGTACATTAAATTTATTGAAATTCATTACTTTTTCTTCACTCATGGGGGGGGAGGAAATGGAATGGATAAATATTTTTACTTGAAATAATGAGTAAATCAATATTTATCCAATTTTTCAAAATATTCTCACATTGCAGATAAAATGTCGGTTAGGAATTCTTTAAAATCCCTAATCGAGAATGAAATATGAAGGCATAGAACTCGTAAAATATATAACTTACTTACTAAGCATATTTTAATGCTGGAGGATTTAATAGATTTGCTTTAGAAAAGAAAAGAGTTGTGGTGTTTCTTAACCTGTAAAATTACCCATCTACCAAAAATTCACACTTATCTGTAAAAGATAACTCTGAAGACATTAAATTTATTTTGAAAGTAATATATTAATTTCTCTTTGTTTGAAAAAATACAATAAATTACAATTCATTTTAACAACGTGAAGCATTTAAGCGTATAATTCAGTAATGCGCAATAACTTATACGTTATTTTAATGAAATTGAATTATTATATAATAATAAAGCACTCGAGGACTATTTGCCTAAGGGCAAGAACGCCTTTCTAATCGTTATTTGAAATGAAATTTTACAATTTGCTTTGCTTTTGCTTTTAATTTACTTTCCACAGCACTCAGTACGCGAAACCGTCAATAATAATATAATAATGACAATAAAAATGGCATCACTCAACTAAAAGTAGATACTACTTCATAAATGTCGATAAATTAATTACTGAAAATATTAAACATATCAATGGCAGCATTGCCCTAATAGTTTTAAGTTGCATTTCAACATTTGAAAGAACGCGAATTTCATTGCTATTTTCACCACACAAATGAATGGAATATTTCAGAAAAGAATTCTCCCCTGTTATTCCAATATTTCAATAATTTTCGCAAATTAAAAAATTTAATTAATACTTTTTAATAGTAAATGATGCAATTTTCACACATAAAATCCCTTTCTACATTATTATCTTTCATTTCAGCACCACAGCATTACTTTTCTAAGACATAAATAGCTTCCGTTAATATATGTTCCCATACATTATATTTATTTTTTATATTTTTGTCATTAATAAATTAATGATAGATAGATAAAAAAATCGATACTACTTAATTTATAAACAATGTAAAAACTGCAAATCTGAGGTCATTAATTTCTGAGACATAAATAGCTTTCCAAGATGCAAATAAAACAGGTAACAGAAATCATAAATATTAATGCTCCTAAAATATATCCACTTTTCCTAATTGATTTTTGCTTTTTGATCCATCTGGGGTACAATAAACCTATTTTCATTAAAAGAAGTTTTGCGCATTTCTCTACAAAGTGCGCAAAGCTTGTTTCATACAACTTTATTTTAACTAATTATGAAGAAACGTTATACTTGTTTCCTAAACAAGTATTTATGTGTACTACTTTTAGAAACCGCGCCACAGAGTGTGAGTACTCATCTTCAATTATACGTTAGTGTCGATAAGCTTAATTACAAATTATTAAACATTTCTGGGAACTTGAAACTTAGAAGGGAATCATCATATTCTGCTACAGTGGGTATCTAAATTTAGATAAATCCTCATACCGTAAGTATTTTGTGTTTAATTTTAAAATTTCCACTTCGTATTACACAGTCATCTTCAAAGTTCTTTGGATACAAGCCAACAAAATTTTGTTTCTACCTGTTTATTATTTTATCCTAAACTTGTGGAAGAATTTCCTAAAATTATTCGAATATCCATAATTTTTACTGTTAAATATTTAATAATTATACATTAACTGAAATACATTTATAGTACGGAGGAAATGTAGAAAGATATTGCAGGTCATGTATTATGTATCATTGGAATATGACAATAATAATAGTACAATTTGACTGGAAAAAAAAACCAGATGTTTCAGCTTTTTAAAAGGGAAGTAGACATCTTTACAGTGAAATCTTGGATGAAAGTTTTACTGTGACTGAACTTGGGAAGACACTGGAAATTTATGATGGAGGTGGGGTCCCTTTCTTCGCTAAACAGCTGTGTTGAAATGTGAAACGCTACCCCTCAAGTATACTTGTAATTGGCTGATGACTCAGAACAGTAAACTGAACTTAAACTTGCTCTTGTTCTAATGCCATTTCTCTAGTCTGTGACGAGAACGAGCAGAAGTTTTTCTTTAAAATTAAATGTTATCTCAAATATAATTCTTCATTATAAAGGTAAGTTATTGATTTGTAATATTACACAAACTAAATTCTTATAATTTAAAAATTCAATTCAGCTAAACTTTTAATCCATTTATTTGAAAGTGCAAACTTATCAACATTAACAATGCAAATGTCTACTAATATTAATAACGTATTGTTATATTAACATGAAATATTTTCATGATAAATATGAAATATAATATATGTTTCCATACATTAAGAAACATAATAACAGGCCAAAAATTAAAAACAAAATTGTTTAAAGATGTCCTGCGCTATAGCTGTAGAATCGATCGAGTCAATCAGTCGAGTCGACAACTGAAAATCAATCGACTTAAATGGAGCTCATCAACATCTAAAAAGTATTTCTATTAATATGCAAGATATGAGAAACAAGTTTGAAGACATTATGAAATAAGTATGCATTATTGCAAGTAATGGGGCATAGAAACTAAATTTGAAAAATAAAATAAAAATAAAGACAAAATTTTGATGAGTTATGTGAGAATAACAGGCTTGAAAATTCCGAAATATCTTTTAAAGTAACAGTTTTTTTATGCTGCTCTCGACATTTTAAATTCTCAGTTAAAGTACAGAATGATTCAAATGACAAAAATCGCAATGATGTTTTCATTTTTGGAACCTAAAACACTGTCATCGTTAACAAATATGGAAATTATTAATAATGTTTCAAAAATACAGAAAACCTATAAAGAAAACTTTGCTAATGCACTAGAAGCATAACTTTTATTATTTATAAGTACTTTCAGAACAGAAATCCAAAATTTGAAATCCGTTGTGTGCAATTCACTTATATTGTATTTATCATTACCTGTAACCACAGCCATGAGCGAGAGGTCATTTTTCAGTAATAAAAACATATTTAAGAAACACTATGACACAAGATCGATTGTTAAACCTATTGAGCGTTGAAGCTGAGATGGCTGAGAAAATGGACATCCAGGTATTAATAAATAATTTTGCCGAAATGAAGGTTAGGAGACACAAATTTCAATAAAGAAGGATTTTTGTCTTTATGATGAATTTTGGCCACCAGTGTTATAATTACACTTATTGGGGGAATTAGAGAAGAAGAGCAGTATGGGCTGAGAGAAAATTAAAAGGAAACAGGAAAAAAATTTAGCATTCATATTTTTTTATAAAAATTATGTATTCAAGTAGTTTAGTGTACCAAAAGGATTTTTAAAAAGACAGAAAAAATTTTACATATTTTCTACAAAAATTGTATTTTTAAACACATTTTCTTTATGAAGTTTATGATAAATATGTTTTATATTTAACAAATGTATCATTTACAATATAAAAGTTCTTATTTATTACTTATATATTATTGCATAAATCATGTTTGTAAGCTGAGTAAATCACAGAGTTCTATATATTAATGTAATATCTTTTCTGTACGTTTATCAATTATCTTGTCTGTCAGTTTATAATATAACCAATTATTTATAAGTTTGCTAAATGAAGCGAAAAAAACAGATAGGCGCAGATTTTATATAAAAATTTAAAACATTAGTACGTAAAACTTCTTGGATTTTATATAAAAATCTCCTCAAATCTAGGCTTTTTTCCTTTTCTTAATGCTATACTGTATGTCGACATGTTTCTTTTTTATATAGACTTATTCATTTATTATCAGTATGTATCTCAGTGAAAGGAGAGAAAAAATCATGAAAACATAGGCTCCTGGAATCCTTGATTTTTTTTTTTTTTAATTTTTTTTTAATTCCCTCCCCCACATTAAATGTATTGGACATTAAATTATTAAGCACATTAAATTTATTGGGATTTTTTTTTTTTTTTTTTTTTTTTTTTTTTTTTGCATGGGGGCCTAAGAATTCTAGTTACGCCACTATAAATAATATGATGACCAAAAGGAACAGATCCCATTTTTGGTGTAGTCATAATTTTTTTTAATATATTCCAGGAAAAGGTGTTCCCATCTTCCCCCTCCCTTCTCCATCATGTTCCATGAACAATAAGAGCATGGCAAAAGTTATCATCATGGTCCAGCCTATATGATGCATTAAAAAGACTTTTTGTGCCCTTGGTTAAATGTATTTGCCCACCCCTGGTCTATATAAATCAAAAGTCTAATTTGTATAATATTTATTATGCTTTCAGAAATGCAAAAAGTTCTGAAATTAATAAAAAAAAAAAGTGCTGTAGTACTCAGATCAGTCATAATTACTAAAATGAACTACATTTTTTTATAGTTTCTCTTAAATCTGAACAAAATTATTTAAATTTACTTGCTTATGTGGGTTGGAAAGTAATTTAAGCCAATTTATGTATTTTTTAATGGCTCTTGACAATTAGCATGGAAAGAATGTTATTTTTTTAACTTATAAAACATTTTGCTTAGAAAATTAACAAAATTCTGTCTACAATATTAAAACTGTTTTCAAAGAATTCTTTATATTTTTTTAGCAACTTTATAATCAGAATATCACTATTTAAAAAAATAATACTTACTGCCACTTTTTTAACACTTTTATAAAAGCCGCATTAAAGCTTGCTTTGTATTTCATTCTTCTTCAGTATGAGAATAGCAAAGAACTTAACTGACTTTATAATTTTTATAAAGTCAGGTAACTTTATAATAAAAACTAAATTTTTTCACCTGTATATATTCAGTGCATCTCTGAAATAGTAGTGCTAGTAAACTGTTTGTGGTATGTAGTAATTAAGGCCTATTAAAAAATATTCAAAAATAGTACACTTTAAGGGATTGGTAAGATGTTGGATAAGATGTTTCATTGATGCAATAGCTGAGAAAGCCATTTGACTTGTTCTACTCTGTCAGGAGTGATACTGTGGTTCACTCTCAGTTAAATGGTAATGATAGACCCATTAAGTTTAAAACACACAAACATAGTTTTGCTTGATCTGTACTTGGGTTTACAATTATTTATCCTTAACATGGCCCAGATTTTTATAACATATCCATTTAGTTGCTCTTATATATTTTCCTCTTTTCAAGCATTTTTTAGGTTTTTAGAGAATTTAAGGTCTTTCGGGACATTTTTAAGCATTTCAAAGCATTTTAAGGCATATTCTAGTAATCAAACTGAAAAGTAAAGTTACTTTGAAATAACACTGTCTCAACTCCTATGAACTCATTTTTATTAGGCAGGCATATCCTATCTGTAGAGAACTTATTATGTAATCTGGTTAGTCATGTCTAACATAGCAGGCTTTTTCCACAAGGTATGAGTGTCACTTCTATGCAAAGTATGCAGAAGGGGAAAAAGCTATTCTATAGACATATTCTTGAAATTATACACACCCAGCTGTGTGCAATTCATTTTTCTGCCTCAATAAAAGCCTCCCCCCCCCCTCAGCTGCTATACTCCTGCTTCGATTCAGATGAAATATTTTCTCCTTAGCCAAAATTGAAGAAAACGTTGCATACATCAGATCCAATTTCAGGGTCCTAATAAATTCTTACAAGAGCAAAATGTGGAACTTACCATTGCAATAAATGACATTCATAAATTAGATGATGTATTTAAAAAAGGTCAAGGGCAAAGTTTCAGATACTGTATTGCTGAATTCAACACTGTTTTGACTAAAAACTTTGGCTTCCAAACTACGCATTAAAATCCCTCATCTTGACAAGAGAAGCAAACGGTTTTGAAATTAAAGAAGAGTTAACAAGTGGTGTAGGGATTTTCTCCTTCCCTCCCCCCCCCAAAAAAAAATATCCTGTAATAACTCCAGTAGGTATCTAGAGAAGCTTCTCATGATGTAAATTGATATGTATAACTCCAGTAGGTGTCTAGAGAAGCTTCTCGTGATATAAAATGATATGTACTGATAACAGATCTTGCACTTTGAAAAATATCGAGAAGCATTAAATAATTCAGTGCAATTGAATAATACATTTGGGTAAGGTTGAAAATTTGGAAGGAAAAATAAAAATCAAATTATGGGTATGTGTAATTGTTTGGGTTTAAATCCATTTGTTGATTGTGCCATTTTTTATACTATAATTTCTTATTTTTGAAGACACATTGGAGGGAGATTTTTGTCCTTTTTAAGTACATTTTCTGGCTATTTTTAAGGGCATTTTCAGTGAATTTTTATGTCATCAACATCTGGGTCCTGATCATTACAAATGCTTAATGTTAATTAATTATTAACATTATGACAGTTATGATTTCATTATCAGATTAGCCTTTTTTTTTCATGCTTATGGTCAACATTTATTCAAGGATTCTTTCATTCAAGGCAGAGCATTTTTGTTTCTAAAAGAGAGGGGACCTGCGTCTGATCGCCCTCAAAATTGGTAAAGTTTTGCTAAAATAAAGTCTCTTTTTTGCTTAATTTCAAATTCTTTCTTACCTTACAAGGTATTTCCCTCGCCTTCTTAATAAGCCTTCGTGGTGTAGTGGTCTGCTCGCTCAGCGCGTAATTGAGAGATCCGTGGTTTGATTCGTGGCAAAGGCGTTGCTAATTTTTCATCTTACCTGCTTCCAAAAAACCTAATGTCTCTACAGTGATGCCCGAACTAAAAGAGTGTTGAATGATGATTCTTCTCACCCAGGATTTGGCGATTGGGTCCCCTAAAAACCCCTGGCGAGTATATAAGGTTTTTCTCCCACCTTCATGGTGTAGTGGTCTGCACGCTCAGCGCGTAATTGAGAGGGCCATGGTTCAATTCCTTGTGAAGGCATTGCTATTTTTTCATCTTGCCTGCTTCCAAAAATACCTAATGTCTCTACAGCCTCATTGCACTGTGAGTCACACTGAAGCCCAGTGAATACCCAAAGAAAAGCTACTTCTATACTAAAGAATAGCTACTAGCCAAAGATAACCACCTCTGGGGAAAAAAAGAAAAGTTTTTCTTAGAACACGGGTAATTATAAGTATTGAATCTAAGTATGATGTGGATCACTTCCATACAAGATAAAAATATTGAGTTGTAATTTAGAGAGTCCAGTATATATGGAGGGAATATGATGATTTGGATGATAATTCTTTTCTAGAGAGCCACTGGATCTATCATCCTCATAAAGCAAATTTTGACTGCTCACAACTGCCTGAACAGAGTGCCTGATTTACCTACTAATATATAGCAACTGTTATCTTGCCTTCTTTGGTAAAGGTTAGATTTTTCATAAAAGCAATAGTTTTGTATCACTGAAAAAATTAAAGAACGATTCTAAAAATATAATGATGATTTGTCTTGATTGTTTTTCTTCTCTGGAGTAGAACTTGAGTTCAGTTGAGTTTTGTCATTAAGTTAGGTTTAATTAATTTAATTTATGGGAAAACTGAATCTTTGTTTGAAGTAATTTAACTAAATATAAAGTGGCACCTACAAACATTTCTTTTAATGTTGTCAGATGGAAACTGCTTTGGTAAACTTGATGCAGATTTGCATCTTATTATATAGGATATATTAATAGCTTGACTGGTTTTTACATTTGTAGAAAGATCATTAAATATGAGTTGTGTTTAAGATGTGCTATTCCATCAAGAAATTTTGAGTGAAATAATAATTTAGCAAGAGTAGTTGCAATTATGTTAATAGAAAATAAAGTAACTTATAATAAATAGCTTAGTTAACCTTATTATTCAATAAGAAGCATAATATTACTTTTTGATTACAATTGAACCGTTACCTTAAGGTCATTAGAGAAAGGTATGCTTCATCATCATTTCAGCTGGTAATTTACAAGTTTTGCAACTGAAGTATCTTGGAATCTGATTCTTTACTATTGTCTCTTCAACTTATTGCATCTCTTGTATATTTATTATGTAAGAGTGTGGTCTAAAAATGACGGCAGTTTTATGCAGCCCATAAATGCATATTAACGATGTGTTTGTTGCAATTACTGTGTTGCAAAAATTTCAAGATTTTCATTACTTGAAGTTCAAGTTTACATTATTTTCATTATAACTAACATGAATAGCTAACCAGAAAGTTTGTAAATGGAACTAATTATTTGAAGATATGGAGTTTTTAAAAAAGCAGCAGAAAACAAGCTTTCAGGCAACAAAAACAGAGGTGAAAATGCTTTTTTTCCTTATATAAAGATTTGGTTAACATTTTGGTTCAAATTTCTCTCTGTTAGTTATTCAAGGTTTCAGTTTCTAGATTTCAACATTATTGTTGGCTGATGAGTTAGTAGCTTTATATAAGAATCGTATATCACAGATTAATTTTAATTTATTACTATTTTTAGGATAGAAATGTGTAAATTGGGAAATGAATTGGTATGCAAACAAATTGTAATTTAAAAAAAGCATATGTGTATACATATAAATGCATTAGAAATTAGAATATGAATACAAGCAGTTGGGAAAAAGGGAATCAATGTTGATATAGAAGCAGATATGATTTTGCAACTCTGAGTGCAAACATTTATTAAACATGAGAAAAATGTGCTGTTAGTGATTGAAAAATATAATTTAAAAATAAGTAGTTTTAAAATTAGCAAAAAAAAAGGGGGGAACATAACTCTCATTTTTCCATATGTTCTTAGCACACTTGAACAACAAATAACCTGAAAAGTATCTGCCTACATTTAAAATCTCTTTTATAATGGCAAATGTTTTGTACTTAAAAATTACTTTTTTTAAATTTTCCTGAAAATAGAAAAATATTAATTTTTTCAGAACTATAAATTATTATTATTATTTTTAAGTGGTTTGGAAATCTAGTGACAATGAAATGGTGGAATGATCTATGGCTTAATGAAGGTGTTTCAACATTGATCATGTACATACCACTGAAAGAATATCATCCTGCAATTGGAGAGGTAATATAATTAGAGTATTTTTTATGTAATGTATTATTCAGTATCAAATTCAATAGTATTATTTCTTATTTTTAATACTTTCTATCTTCATATCATTTTCTATAGTTTGTTATTGCTATATTCATAGTTCATATTGACTGGATGATTCATCATTGCTAGAAATAGTTTCTGATAGATTTTCTGTTGAAATTCATTTTCAAGAAATGTTTTGTTGCAGATTGTGAGCTTATTTGTTTCTTCATTTTAATTTATGCACGGCATTACACTAATTAAAGGAAGAGGGTGAATGCTAAATTCTGAGTAATGTGAAAAGGGGCAAAATATCCTAATACTCTTTATAATACAAATCCAAAGTATACATATTCCAGTTTTTCCCAGTAACGTCCTCTTTTAATGAATGTGACCTAGCAAGAAACTATTAGTGGTTTTTGTCCATTTTCAAAACAGAATTATTCAGATAACCAAATATGAACATGTCTTTGTGTGTTATTGTTCTAATTAAAATGGGAAAAAAAACTATTATGAATTTTTATGAAAATATTTGTTTATTTATTTTCTTATTTATTCATTAATTTGTGGTAACTTCTATTTGTTTTTTATTGGGTGTTTCTTCTAATCATTAATTTCTGGTCACTTTTTGTATTTACATATTTTAATATTTTTAATTAGAATTCTGAGTTAATAGACATTGAAAATATTAAAACAGCATAAGGATTACTGGAATTTTAAGCTTTTAATGTTTACTGGGCTTTGGAGCAAATTTTCATTACATGAACTTCCAGAAAATGAATTTTTGATAACCTAAAATGAATTTTTCTAAAATGTTATAGTAGTACCATTTTCTGCTCCTAGCTGTGGTATATAAAGTATCAGTAGTTAGTTAATAATCATTCTGCTTAGGTTGGGGTGTTACTGGGTAAAAGTGTTGATTGATTCTTAGCATTTGGCTGGCTCTTTGAGCGATTTGATTTTGTAATTTGTAAGATTCTTCTTATGTTAGACAGAATTTTAATGTGATTTCTCTATTGTCCTTGGGTTGTTTTTGAGCAGTTTATATTCACTTAATAATCATTTGGAACAATATAAAAATAATAATTGTTTGGAACTGTTATGATGGTTCAAATTTTTCTTATACTTATCTATTTGTTTAATAAGATCGTGACCAATCTATAACAAAGAAGTTTGTTACAGATCTTGACAAATCTGTAACAAAGTATGCTATATATCTGCATTAGTTAATAAATAAAATTACTTTAATCTGTTACAAATGTTTTACTTTCATGTTTGTTTTTACATGTTTACATCATTCCACACCTCCCCCCCCCACACACACACAGACACATACTGATTGCCAGTTAGCCAAATTTTTTAGAAGTATTACTTTAGGAAATTAAATCAAGAGTAGTATGTTTTAATTTTATTTAGTGAGAAATAAGTAAATGCTTCAAAATGATATTTATTTAAAATGTTAGCCTTCAATTTAAGAAACAAAGCTACATGCAAGAATGCAAGCCAAGTAAAATCAGTACTGCCACAACTCCTTTTCTCTGTCTTAGCATCAGAGGTTTCTAGTGCTCAGGGACAACTGAAGATTTCGGGCCACCTCCTTCTTGCCAGTATGAATTGGGAAGAGAAAGAAAATGCCCGCTGGATGCTGCAGCCTGAAACAGATACTTGCTTCTCTCTAGCTACACCACTGCTCAGCATCTAGAAATGTTTAGTTTTTAAATCACTACTCAGTTGAAATTAATCCCCAAATATGTTTAATTTGATGAGTTATTAAAAATGACACAAACTGTGCAATAATGAAATGGTGAGCAAAATTTTCTTAACTTTTGTATTATCAACTGCTGCTGTGTATGTTTAGTTAAATGCAGGTATTATTAGCAGCTTTTTATAGTTATAATATTTAATTCTCAATCACGTAGGAACAAACATTGTGCTTCTAAGTAAAATCTAAGTATGGTTTTGCAGATAGAACAGAGATAAATGAACTTGAGGAGTAAGTCTCAAGTTCATTATGTCATTCAGAGCCTAATTTTCTTTAGCTAATTAAAATTTGTTTAAACTATACATTTTATATAATATTCTATATTCATTCTCTGTGCATAATATTCATTATCATATATGATGAGCTCAGTGTAATTTATTAATTCCTGACAGCATAAAATAAGAAGGTTCTGTCATTTGAGAGGTGGTAGCATAAGCTACTATTCTCAAATGACAGAAGCTTTATTAAACCTATTAATATAACCTCTAGCTTTACTAAAGCTATCACCTCTAGCTTTATTAAAGCTATTAATATAAAATGTAAACTGTGCAATAAACATATTATACAGTTTACATTTTATATATTTAAGAAATATATATAATAAACAATGTAAAATCTTTTGTAATCCACTATTTCAGTATTGTCAATAATATATTATATCTCTTTGTTTATAAAACTCATAAATCTGACAACATTTAAAACTTTAGTAATTTAAAAAATGTCTTTAAAAAAATTGTTTTTAAGGTATTTGGCAAACTAACTCTCAAAAACTATAAATTATGCTTTTAAATACTTTAACTGTTAGCTATCAGCAATATTTGAATGTGTTTAAAAGGCTGTAATGCATTTTATATGTAATTTTGCCATAACAATATAAAAATAATTATATTGCCTTTCCCCCTCCTATTTTTTAGAGTTTTTGGATGTTTTGGATTACACTTTTATCTATCTACGGATTATCCATATACTATGAAACTGTGCATTATCCTTAACAGAAGTCTCAGAATGAAACTTGATGAATATAAGAAATTTTTAGCTTTTGAAAGCAATTCCTGTTTTTGAGACATTGATCCCATTGTCAAAGCTTGGAATGAAGTTAAAAATTGATTTCTGATAACATATAAATGAAAATATTTTTCAGTAATAGTGGAACAACTTCTGATTTCATTGAAAGTATTTATGATGTTTAAGAATTTGTAAATTTGATTGAAGAAAACATGTAAATGTAGATGGCAAAAGACAAAGCAATGAAAGAATCATAAGATTTTATCAAACCAATCAATCGAATTTTACTCACCACTCCTGCGATCTTTCGCAACTGTGGGAAACCTGTTTTGACACTCCCTCTGTCTGGGGAGGTCCATCCTCCGTATTAGGCGGGAGGATGAGGTCTGAGCGGACCGGTAACATTGGCTCGTAAGTGGTTTTGAATCCACGTAGACACTTGGTTTAGTCCCTCTCCGTATCAGGCGGGAGGGAGCTGCAACTTAAGTTTGTGCTGATTTAAATGGCCGGTTATTGGTACTGGTCTTTGGGTGCCGTGTTTGTAGATGCCCTTAGGCTGATCATCGTATCTTGGAGGGCCTTTCGGCGAAATCTCCAAAGCATCACACACCATAGTGCGATCCAATGACTGAAAGATTTGTCGGGAAATTATATATCTCACCAACAAATAGTTTTATTTGGGGATCGCAATCTAGATCCTCTTACTTTTATTTATCTTTTTTCATTCTCTTATTTTTATTATAGAACAATAATTAAGGAAATACAAAAATGATACTATTTACAATATTTACAAGACTTAGACCATATTACATGAGTCGTAGTTTATCTGAGGGATGCCTTATCGCGGCATCTCCTTTACAATTGTATTCTGGTTGTCTGCTACAAATTTTATTATTCGCTGGATGCCCTTGAGGCCTGCTGGAAATTTCACTATGTGGTTAATCTCCAATGAGGAGAAGGCGTCTTTGAATACTTCTTGTCTTAGCCCTTGGAGGAGTGGGCATTTAGTGACATAATGCAATGCATTTGCTAGTGATGCGCTTGTGCCGCATGCACATTTCGTCTGTCGTTTGAAGAACCGAAGATAATAGCTGGGGAACTTCCCGTGGTTTGTGAGTGCCTGTACTTCGTAATAGTCTGTTCTTGTTCTTTTGGGGGAGACTGTCGGGAATATTTTGAATGTCCATCTGCCCGTCTGTTCTTGTTCCCATCTCTCCTGCCATTGTCGAATCATTTCTTGTTTTAATTTTGTTTTCATTGCTAATTCCGAGAGGGGGACTTCCGTGTCCACTTCTATTTGTTCTGTTGCCCTTTTGGCCTCCGTGTCGGCTCTTTCATTGCCCATTGTGCCCTCATGCGCTTTCACTCAGTGGAAACTTACTGTGTGGGAATCCTGGAGGGTATGAAATAATTCCTTCAGGGCTCTGATGCTCCTGTTGGAGTTTTGCATCTTATGGATGCTTTGAAGGGAACTTTGACTATCTGTGTATACATTTATCCGATTTTCTGAGCTTATGTTGTGGCTTAGCCATATACATGCTTCCTTTAGAGCCAGGACTTCCGCCTGGAAGACCCTGGCGTCATTATTTAGTCTGATTCTTTTATTATATATTTAATGCGAGTTGTTAAAGATCACAGAAGCCGCCCCTACTTTATCTTCCTTCTTCGAGCCATCTGTAAATGCTTCTACTCCCTGTCCTTCTGGGGGGTCTTTGTCCCATTTTAAGTGAAATTTTCTAGCCGGGTGTTCCGAAGCTGCCGGGAGTTTTTCCTCTATTTCATTAGCCCAAATTATTATTTCTCCTATGTTTATGTTTTCTTTATAGTGCTGTACCCTGTACAGGCTTACCTCCATGTGTGCTTTTAAGTCTAGCGGCATTAGACCAGCCAAAACTTGTAGCGCTGATGTTGGGGCGGTTGAGAATGCTTTCGTAATGCAGAGAAGCGCCACCCTTTGTATTTGATTAAGCTTTACCTTTTGTCTTTCTGTGCCCGTGTACCATATGGGGCACCCGTAAAGAATCATTCTTTCTATTGCTTGAAGGTACAATGTCTTTAGAAGTTTCCCTCTTATGTTCCACCTATGCGTAATCATCTTATTGAGGTTGTTAATGAGGCATAATGTTTTATCCTTAATTTCTCCTAGGTGGGGGATCCATGTTAATTTGGGATCCAGTGTAAAACCCAGATATTTCAATGTCTCACATCTTGGAATGGTGGTGTTGTTCCATTTTATCCTGGGGGGAGAACGGTGTAATTTATTGCTTTTGGGGAAGAGAATTTGCTTCGTCTTTTCTATACTGAACTTTAATTTATAGTCTGAGCTCCATTTTTGGATCTGGGAAAGGGCCTTATGAGCCTTTTCCTCCAATCTTGTTCTATTTCCTCCCGCAATTATGAGTATGAAGTCATCTGCGTACGCCTGCAGTTTAATGTCCTCTTCGAATTTTATTTTGAGTGCAGAATCTGCCATTACGTTCCATAATATGGGGCCCAGATTTGACCCTTGAGGGGCTCCCTTCTCGTATGTATGTGTTACGTTAACTCCATCCCTTTTATATGAGATTCTTCTATTGTTTAAATAGCTTTTAATTACTTCGTATAAATTCTTGGGACATTCCATCTCTAGGAGTCTTTCCAGAACCCCCGGCCACCAAAGGTTGTTAAAGGCCGAGGCTACATCTAGTGCGATTACACATGTGTGAAGATTGCGTCCTTTGTTCCTGTGAATCTGATTAATTAGCTCATTTAATGCATCTAATGTGCTTCTGTCTGGTAAGAAGCCGAACTGCTGCCCATGCAGCTTTTTGTTCGAGACTAGGAAGTGGGTAAGTCTTTTTGCTAATAGCTTATCGAGCACTTTGCCCCACGCCGACAATAGGCAGATTGGGCGGTAGGCGTTGGCCTTAGTTGGATCTTTACCTTCCTTTCTGAACAACACTAAGTTGCCAGACTTCCACGTGTCTAGAAAATAGCCTTCGTGAAGGCAGAAGTTTAGCATCTTGGTAAATTTTTCCCTGTCCACTAGGAAGAGTTCTTCTGTGATATCTATTGAGAGCCCATCGTCCCCTGGGGCTTTCCCTCTTTTGGTGGACCTTATGATTCCCTCTATCTCTTCTTCCGTAAATGGAAGATCGTCTTCTGTATTGGGGTGGTATTGGACTTTAGCTCTTATTTGACTGTGAAACCCCGTGTCCTCATCTTCCTTGTCCTGGGGAAAATGAAATCTTATAATTGCTTTAATTGTTTCTGTTGTATTTTGTGTCCACTGCCCTTGATCATCCTTTATTCTGCATAATTTGAGAGGGGAGTATGCTTTACCCTTTGCCAAATTAAAGTACGTGCCGAAAGGGGATGTCAACTTTAGGCTTTCCCAGTATGTGTCCCATGACTTTAGTTTTTCTATTTGGATTTGTCTTCGGTATGTGGCGGCAACCTTTTTGTAATCTTGCCTTTTGATCTTGCGATCCGGGCCTCTTGCGTTTTGAAAGATTTTTCGGAATCTTCTAACTTTTTTCCTAAGTTCTGTGAGATGGGTCGACCACCATGTTTTTGTGCCTCCTCTGATATGTTGTTTCGCACTTTTGATTGAGCACTTAAGATTATTTTTATATGCCTCTTTGATTTTGTCTGAGATTATTTGAATTTGCATGTTTAGATCGTCCTTACCCTGCGGGTCTTGTATTTCACTGATGACTTTTGATATGTCTCTTTTTAATAAGAGCCAATTTGTATGCGTTAATTTAATTCTTGGTGTTGGTCCTGTTGTTTGAAATTTATTCTGGACTTGGAAGTTGACCGCTTGGTGGTCACTAAGAGTCTCCCTTTTATCAACTTCCCATTGGTCTATGAAGATATGATTCTTCTGTTGAAGTAGAGTTAAATCTATCCATGAATTACCCCTTGGCCCTGAGAATGTGGGGGGGGGCTGTCTGCTTCATTTAAGACTGTTAGGCCTGTTGCGGCAATGAAATCTCCTAATCTTTGTCCTCTTGTGTCTGTGGGAGATGGTCCCCAAAGAGGGTTCTTCGCATTAAAATCTCCGCAGACTATCGTGGAGATCTGAGATCTTTGTATGTGTTCTTCTAAGGTAGGAAGAATCTGATTTAAATCGTCATGTGGTGGACAATACACTGAGATTAAGTTAAAGGGCGTGTCGCCGTCTATTTTGACTATCACTATTTCTTTGGATGTGTGAATTTCTAGTATTGGTATTTTGGGATCTATTACTAGAATCGCACTTTTTGCTCCTTCTGGGTGATAGTACTGTCTTACTCTCTGTGGAAAGCCACAAAGTTTATTTTTAATTAGGAATGGCTCCTGGATGCAAGCTATTGAATAGCTGCTATTTTCTTCTAAGTCCCTTCTAAGTTGTAAGCTCGCACCCCTTGAGTGCTGTAGATTAACTTGTGTGATTTTAATTTTATCCATAATTTATTTTCCTCCTTATTATATCTAGTTCTCTTATTTTACTTGGACATTTATTGTCTCTCCCGTTATGTTTATGGTCTAGATTTAATCCAAAATTCTGGTTGGCTTTTCTACAGTTTTTACATCTTTCTTTTTTGGACTTACAGTCCTTTTTAAGATGCCCTGTCTTGCCGCATTTATGGCAGCACTGTTCTTCCTTACAGAATTTTTTGGTGTGCCCGAAGCCTAAACAGTTTTGACATTGTGTGACCTGAATGTATTCTCTTACATTTTTCCTGGTCCAAAATAGATTAATCTTTTTATTTTTCATTAGAATTTTGAATGTCGTTGGGTCTACGGAACATACCCAATGTTTTCCATATCGTCCGTTCAAAGACATACTTGATGTGATGAATTAAATTATGTGAATTTAGGAATACAAAAAGGAAATTGAAGAAAGGTGAAATAATATTGGAGTGGCAAGGTAAATGAATATGCAGACATTCTTTAGACTCAGGGCTTTTAACAGGGTCAGTATTTGGTCATACACCCTTAGGGGTCAAAGAAATTTTAAAGAGGGTCAGTTATGATCAAGGGAGCTTTTGTGTGCTGATAGCCAAATATGCAAGGGCAACTGATTGGCATAATGAAGATCCCACTGATTAGGAAAAAAATATTAATATTGTAAAACTGATAACTAATTAATTGATATAAAACTATATCATGTAGTAAGGAAGAAATCATATAAAATAAATATAAGAGAAAAGATACACATAAATTATTAATTATATATTTTTAAATATATAAATTTTGTATGCAAAAAGCGCAATATAAAGAAATAAAATGCAGGAACAAGAAAATGCAATAAAAATTATAGAACTTCCTCAGAAACTATATTGTTACATACAAGTCCCTTGCAAAATTTAAAAGAAGATTTTAATATGCGCTTCCAAAGCATAAAAAGTTTGAATGTGTGAGCATGACTTACACATTCTGCAATACATTTGGCCTCGATATTATGAGGGAGGAAAAGTTGATTCCATTGAAGAGGGATGTTTAAGCACAAGAAATAACACATGTGTATGCTAAGTTTTGGAATTTAAAAGGCATCTAATGGAAATACTCCAAAATTAATGTTGTTACCGAACAGCATTATTGAATTTTCCTCTTCTTATGTACTATAAGCAGACCTTAGTCAAATCAGTAACCTACTATGGAAAACAAGAAAAAGAATACTTTTTAATGAGATGATTTAAGAATTAAGCAGTTTTATGCCAAATAAAACAATTACATCAGTAAGTAAAGTGCAGCCATTACATTAATTAAAATCGAACTTTTATGCAGTTAGAATGACTCAATGTACAGTTTAATTTTTGGAAGCTTGTTTATAATTGTAAAATTAAAAATAGCAATAATGCAAAAATTAATAAAACATAATTCTGATGAATAAATCTTCAAGTACCTACCAATACTGCTTAACATAATGTTTCTCAGTAATCCATCTGGTCAAGAAGACCAACTGCAAGATAATTCACAGTTGCTAAACTTGCCTTTTTTACATAGCTACATTTTTATTTCTAGCACATAAATGTAACTAATTAGTTTTGTGGAAGAAAACAAAACAAAAAAAAAATGTCAAGGCTGGCATACTTGCATAAAAAGTTTATTTGTACATTGAAAATCAAATGTATAGAAATAGTGTAATTTATATTTTTTGTGATCTTTTTAAAAATAGCCTTCCACACCAAGGGCTGCTTTCTCTTTGCTTTAGCTTAGCTTTATGACACCTAAATGTATTGACAGACAACATTTTACACAGCACATTGTATAGGTCATTTAAAACCTCTAAAGAGTTCTTTTTCTAAGGTAGATGTGTATTAATCACAAGTTTACAAGGTCATATTTTCTGTTTTCAATACATTAACTATGTATTAACTAGCATGAATAATTACTTGTTCAGCACACTGTGCTTAAAGTGTGTGCTTACATTGTACACTTGCACTTCATGGCAAGTAATGAAAATTTCAATAAAGATAAAAATAATGTGACTAGAGGTATATCTGAATTTTCTCATTCTGTTCCTTGGTATGATAATTTTATATACTAAATCGTTTTTTATCTTGTTTGCAGTTGGATGTAAGAAAAGTGTCCAAGATGATGTGTTCAGATTCCAGCCTTGACTCACATCCTATTCTGCACAATGTCAGTAACCCTGGAGAAATATCAGATCTCTTTGACACAATATCATATGAAAAAGTGAGAAATGTTTTCTCATTTGCTCGAGGATTTTCTTTGTAATATGTGTTGTCTTTTTTCATAATTTTACTGATGTTTTATATAAATTATCTTCTTTTTTTTTTTTTTTTTTTTTTTTTTTTTGTGTGTGTTTGGATTGTTATTTATTGAAATTTGAAAAGTTATATAATCTCATTTATAGGAATCCAAAGTTTTATCACATGATTCTGATTACCCATTAGTTGATATTAATATAATTTATGCAGATTATTTGTTTAATTAAATTTTGAAATAGTTTACCGTCTGTAATTATTATTAATAATTATTAAAAACTTTTTGAAGATATGAATTTAATTTTACACTATTAAATGAAGAGTTTTTAAAAAAAAAGCTGAAAAAGTTACCACGTAATGGAAAATTTCATAGACTGTTGATGTTAGAAATATTATAAAGTTCTAAAATATAAAACTGAATATATTATTATTATTATTATTATTATATTTGAAGTTGTATTAGCAAAAATAAGGAGTCAAGTCTATTTCTATTTATAAAGTATTTTTTCAACATATAAAGTTTTTTCAAGAAAGATTTTCAAAATCAATTTGCTCAAATTTTTATTTTGAATTTTTTTCTCAAAAACTATTGTATTTAATAAACTGGAATGTTATAAAACTGTGTTGGGAAACAAAATAAAAGGTCTGTCTTTTACAGTTCAGTATTCTCAGTTGATTGATTACTTGCTGAAATGTCAACATTTTCAATTAAAGAAATTTCTTGCTATTTATTCGTAGTACTTTTGTGGACTTAGGTTATTGAAAATAAGTGTAATAACTATCAAACTATCAAATGTGTAATAACTGTCAAAATCAGAATGATACATTAAAAACATTAAAAAAATATGAATTCACAGAATTCATTCATTGTTGTAAAACTTGTGGTAATTTAATATTCACAGTACTAATTTTTTCATAACAAAATGTGTTAAACTTGTGTGTATCATAATTTACCTACAAAATTTTTTAATATATTTTATAATTTCCATTTTATTTCAAATTTGCATTTTAAAAATATGTTGCAGAATGCTTTCTTTCAAATGTATTCATGTGTTCTCTGCTTACCATATAATATTCACCTACAAACTTTCTGGTTTTTATGGAATTTTTAGACTTTTTGGCTGATATTGGACTCGAAATCTGTGATTTATATATATATAATAATAGATAAAAATATTAATATATATATTAATAGTAAGTGTATAAGACATGCCTTGCCTGTAGTTTGTGTCGGAAATGATGTTCCTCTCCCTGCATCTTTCACAATGCTCATCTGTATTTAGGAATTATATTTATTCGCTTGCAGTAAGGTAATGAATTGCTAGAGAGTAGCTTGTTAGGTCTCAGCATACATGGTTGTTTCAAAGAGCATGGTCCCAATAAATTGCTGCTTTGATATGGCATACAAAACAATACTTTTCAGAAAATGCAGAGGAGAATAAATAGATGGAGGTCTTCTGAGCTCCATGTTTGGTAAATTTTCTCAAACACATTCCTTTTAATATGACCACAAATGTATTCCGTTTGATATAACTATGTTTCATCTATAAAAATGCCTGATCTAAAATGAAAATGTTGCCAAGGATGAAGTTCTTACAAAACTAAGTCTATACAGCATGTAATATGATAATACTCTACACTGCTTTCTGCAAAAGATTGGCGAATTTCCTTTCTACTTAAAAAGAATTCATATTGCCTCCTCACCAAACTGGTGTGTCAACCTCTTACATGCTATAATAGAATAATGTAGAAACCAAAGAGCCACTGTAAGTAAATATCTGTTAAATTATGTATCATAAATATCTGATCTTAACTTGAGAACCCTATATATGCTGATATCTAAAGTTATTTTTGTATGCCCAAAATGCTTACTGATTTCTCAAAAAGTGTTAAATAAAATTAAATTTTGGGGGCGATAGAAATGCAATTTTACAAATTGTATGTGAAAGCATTTAACATCTAATATTCTCTATGGCAATTGCAAACTAAACTCATCTTGACCTGGCAGTAAAGTTTCTGTTGCAGTGGGCAGCTAAGGACAGAAAATGATCTTAAGAAGCATTTATTTTGCTTTCAAGATCTTGTTCTTGCTTCCTAAGACCTGTTCCAGGTTTGTTCATGCGATGCGTGCGTTGTTATACAACAATTTCAAATTAACTAGAAGTGGACTGTACAAATTTTATCGACAACTTAATCAAATGCGTCCATTTCAAGCGATGACTTACTACTAACAACAACAGCAATAAAAAACTGAGTGAGCATTTACAGGGTTGCTGCAATGAACATCTGCATCATGCAAGGTGCCAAGAAGAGAAAAAATGATGTAAACTTGCAGCTAAATAGTCCTAATGACTTAACATACCCCCCAGCTTTGAAGGGTTACTTCAATAATTTCGTGCAATAATACTCATAATAACATATAAAATTGTGCAATTACAACCTTACAATAAAGCAACACGAATTATATATGTTAATTAAATACAATAATATTCAATTTCCAATACAAAATTTTATACACAATACAAGTTTTATAATAATAAGTTAACACAATTAACTTAGCTTCTTCCTGGGATTAAAATTGCAATTTTTGTAATTCCACACTTAAAATGATGCCTTTTGCTGTATGTATTTCGACTAGTCTAACCTTACCGTCAACTCCAAGAAAAAGTCTTGTAATGCGCCCTAACACCCATCTACTGACAGGAAGCTCATTCTCCTTAACTAGTACTAGCATACCGATTTTAATATTCATTTGTTCTACCTTCCATTTGGAACGCTGTTGTAGTGTGTTTAAGTAGTCCTTATGCTAATGATTCCATATCAGTTGGCAAATCTAGTAGTTCGTTTCCATCTTGAGAGTCTGTTTTCAGGTACTGGGTGGCCATAATTAATTCGGTTCTACTATAGCATTCAGGGCCTCCATGAGAAAATGACCTGGTTAATGCCTCTAAATCATTTACATCGGAAGATAAGGGAGTAAGAGGGCGAGAATTTAAAACAGACTATCTGAGTTACTACAGTAATAACTCCTCGAAAGTCCACCTTGCATACCTACAATCCGCTTTAGTGATATTTACGGATTTTATTCCCAGATTCCATAGTCCACAAATTAGGTGTCCGTGGGGGAATAAACTTCCATACTATTCCTTCTTCACCTAAATAATCTGCTAATTTTTTGTCAGGATTTCTAATTAATTGTTAATTCTTTGCAATCCATTTGCGCCACGAGTTTTTTGCGTTGTCTGAAAAATGATTGAGCATTTTCCGCGCCTAGCAATAATCTTTAAGGGGCAATAAATTCGTCAGTGGTGAGATCACTCACTAGTTCGAGATGCACTGCCTTTGAAAGAGTTAGAGTTTTCCTGTTCCTCTGTCCCTGTACCTAATAAAAAATGGACCGCAAAATCGTGCCGACATGATAAAGGTGAGCTTGGATTTACGCGCTCCCAGGTAATGACCCCATCATTTTCGATAGTTACTGGTTTATTTACTACAAATAACATTCATGGGTAATCTTTCTAGTTAATTCCTACCTTGTAATGCCAAATTTCTGTCTCTAAACACATAATGCTTGCGAACTACGTAAAATTTCCGATGATAATGTTCAGCAATCAGCGCAGTTAGTTTGCATTTAAACAGGCAAAAGTTTGATGTTTTGTGAAAAAGACATTGGCCCCTGTATCGGCCTCCTACTCTCATTACATTATTTGCATCCAAAAAAGGGTTCAAAGAAAGAAATTACTTTTATTAGTAAGGGTTTCCTGTGCGGGAGTTGTATCTGAATAAAACTACATTTTGAACCTCTCTTACTAAAAAGGATTCTGCCTCATTTAACTCCTTTAACTTACCCCTTCTGTTTTCTCGTGCTCCTTTCTGTTTTGCACACCTAGAGTCCAAAAACCTGAAAATATAACTAACAATACGTAATAATTTTAAATATTGTTAGTGATTCTAGGACTTATCAATATTTTGAAGGCAAAGTGCATAACAAGCAATGTCAGTTCTTTTTCTCAGTTCATTAGAAATGTCTCTGTTTTTTAATTGTTCAAAGTCCAATGTTCTTGTAGGTATGACACCTTCACTCAAGAATGGAAGACCTTTCCCCACAGACCACATCATGCAGTGTCAAATCAGTCCTCGGGAAATAAGGTCTGCCGGGTTCTCCTCTGAGCGCACATAATTCCACTGCAGTCTGTGTAGCTCTTGGATCTGCAACACTCGATTAGCAAACAAAGTTTTAGTATGCGGGGATTCTGAAGCCATGCTAACAATATGGTTGAGTCACACCACAGAATATTTACTGATGTCCATTTCAATAAAGGCACCACCTTTGCACAAGCTGTGCTAGCAGTACAGCTGCGCAGAGTTCCAGTCGAGGTACTGTCAGCGGTTTAGTGGAGCTACTCTGGACTTGCTGCAAAGCAAATGTGAAGATAAATATTGTCACTTCTACAGCGTAAATGATCGCTTTTTACTCCGTATGCATGTTCTGATGCATCTGAAAATCCATGAATTTTGTATCAGAAAAACTATCCTGTAAAACATATCTACTGACTTTCAAATTGTTGATAGATTCATTGAATCAATAAAAAGTTGCCAATCCTTAATTATCCTTTCGGGTAGCGGATCGTTCCAATCAAGCTTCAATAACCAAAGTCTTTGGATGAAGATTTTTGCTTTTGTACCCCTGGACCAAGCAGTCATATGGATCATAAATGCGAGCAATATCAGACAACACTGTTCTCTTGTGTAAGTAATTGGTTTCTTGATCGTTGATTTGTCGAAAAACAATCTATCCTTTGGATTCCATAATAATCCTAAAGTTTTGATGCTCTGATCGTCATCGAAATTACTGAAAGAATATTCCTCTTGTCCATCCGGAAACTGCAAAAAGTCAGGATGATTAGCACACCATCTGTGCAGACGCATTCCTCCACGTGATAATAGGTTAATTATTGCGACTGTATTCTTTAGCCTCTATTAGAGTATGGGCTCCTGTGGTACGTCATCGACATAAAAATCCCTTTGTACTATTGGCGCTGCTAACGAAAAATTGTTTTTCTCGTCTTCTGCTAATTGATTAAGTGTGCGTGTTGCTAGATATGGTGCATTGGAAGTACCGTAAGTTATAGTCTTCACTCTATAGACCTTAACTGGTTCTTCTTCACTACTCTTCTATAAGATGCGTAATAAATCTCTTTGATATTCTTTAATCAAAATCTGACGATACATTTTTACAATGTCTGCTGTGAAGGCAATTTTATGCGTTCGAAATCTGGAAACAATATCAAATAGTTCGTCTTGAACTAACCCTCCATCAGCAGAATATCGTTTAACGAAATTCCAGTAGTCGTAGGAGCAGTGGCATCGAACACTACCCTAAGTTTAGTGCTAGGTTTCTCGAGTCTGAAAACCCCATGGTGAGGAAGATAATATGAGAAACTAGAGCTACCCCCTTCATCAATTTCTTCGGAATGGCCTAATTTATTATATTCCTTAATGAAATCTTCGTATAAGTGTTTCATCGCGGGATTGCGAGTGAAGCGTTTAAGTAGATAATTCAGTCTTTTGCTAGCGTTTTCTCTCGATTCCCCCTAAAAGGCTAAGTCCTTCCTCCTTAATTGGCATTTCCACTATATCTGCCATCATCTTGCCTCGTGTGTGTACGAAGAAAGTGCTGTTCACAAAATTCCTCTTCTTGACTCTTCACTTTTTTTTCTTCATTAATACCTTCAATCTCCCAAAAACCTCATACTGTCGGATAAATTGATCCACAGTTTCCAACAAACCCACAATAATTATCAACATTGCCTTGCTGCGGCATGCGTACTGACCCCGCTAACAATGTATCCAAAAACTGACTGATGGAGAATCAGGTCCTGATGAAAAATATTTCGTTAGATAATAAAACGTTATATAAAAACATTTGACCAAGTTTATAAAACTTCGGATCAGCTAAAACAATGGGTTGCAACTGCTTAAGATCAGGAATGTTTAAATATCTAGCAGGCGTAGGCGAGTTATTTTGGGAACAACAAAAAATTGTAAGGTACGAATAAAATCTCTAGTATTGTTAGCGATGGTTGCTATAGCTTTTTCCTTAACATCCATCACTGTACCATTGATAGCTGAAATAGAAGTGTTTATTTTTCTTTTCTTCAAATTCAATAATTCAGCACATTCTTTAGTAATGAAATTATTTTGAGAACCGGATCCAGCAAGGCTCTCAGCGAGATAAATTTTCCATCATTTACCTTAACGAAAATAATTGCAGTTGAAAGTAGAACTTGTTATTAAAAGAACTGGAAATATCAACGCAGTACCATTAATGGACTTTGCTTGGTTGGTTTCATTAGTGTCACTAACCTTTTGGCTGCTTGCCATTGGAGTAAATGTATCAGCATTGGAGAAAGATTACTGCTTATTTATTAGTCTTGTTTGTGATTTGATTCGATGTGCCATTTGCTTTATCGTAATTTCTTCATTTCGATCAAAATGTAAGAGCGAATGTGAAATTTCTGACTTTCTGCATGTATTAGAACTTTTACAGTCCTTGATTGTGTGGACCGAAGATAAACAATTGAAACATAGTTTTTGTCTTTACAAATTTCAAATCGTTTCTTGACTGTTAGATTTAAGAATTGCGCACATTTCAACAATAAATGATCAGCTTTACAATAAGGACAATTTTTTGAATTTTCCGAAAGTGATGTAAGAGCTTTGGTTTTAAATGAACGTTTCGATTCCCATGCGGAGGTTTGTAATGGGATAGGGTGCTAGCATGTTCCTTCAAAAAAACATCTCAGTTGTTTAACTGTTCCTATTTCATCTTTTTTAAGTAATCTTTCCCACGAGCACCAGTATTTCTATCCAACTTTTCAACTAATAAATAAATAATTAATGTGTCTGAAAATTCTTCCACCTTTTGCTCTCCACTGCTTCCAAGGATCGTAAACATTCATGCACCTTGTCGATAAATTTTAAAAGCGACGATGTAGAATCACTCGTTTGAGGTACAGAAATTAATTTCTTGATAGAATTTATCAAATCTTTTTTGTTGCAATAGAGCTCAGCCAATAGATTCCATGCTATGTATAATTTGAATCCGAAATTGGAATGGAATGAATAATATTTAACGGATCTGCCTTACATGAACTCTTTAAATATTGCAATTTTTGCGCATTACTTAATTTGCTATTTTTATGCATAGCTGCGGAAAATAAATCCTCAAATTCAATCCATTCTTCTATTTTCCCACTAAATATTGGAAGAGACAATTTAAGTAATTTTATATCCGAAACAATTATGTCTTTACTCGAAACCGGTTTTCATTTGAGCAGCTATTCCTTTGAGAACGGATCTCAGAAATTTTTCTTTTAATTTTCAATGAATTTCATCGAGATATCTACTACATTTTCCTTTTCCTTAATGAATTCGTCAGTGTCCTTTTCTTCACAATGTGCAAATAAAGAATCGAAAATGTTACTTAATTCCTTTTTAAATTCTAATATTTTGATTCGTATAACTCCAATAAGGAAATATCTGCTTCATCCACTGTAGAATTTACCTTATTTTTCAAACTTTCTGATACTGCATTTTAAACTTTTTTTGTTAGCTTTAATTGCTTTCAATTCACTCATCCTGAACAATAAATAATGTATCACTTACCGTGATTGCAGATTTCGACAGCAACACCGGAAATGAACGATGACACAGTATTCAATCTTAATTGCGTAATCCACATGAAACGAAAGCATTCCAAACACTCTATATGAGTTATGCGTAATGCAACCAAACGAAAGTATTCTAAAGTTCTAAAAAGTTAATTTTAGCACGATGTCTTTTACCTGTGGCTCGGCGGGCCATAAGTGTTCATGCGATGCGTGCGTTGTATACAACAATTTCAAATTAACTAGAAGTGGACTGTACTAAATATTTTATTCGACAACTTTAATCAAATGCGTGCCATCTTTCAAGCGATGACTTTACTAACAACAACAGCAATAAAAAATAAACGAGTAAGCGTTTACAGGGTTGCTGTAATGAACATCTGCGCCATGCAAGGTGCCAAGAAGAGAAAAAATGACGTAATCTTACAGTTAAATAGTCTTAATGACTTAACAAGGTTTTTAAAAATATTTGCAGAGGCAGATGGTCTGTCTTGAAATATTCAAATATCTTACAACTTCCATAATTGCTTTTAAAGGAGCAATAAAACCCAGTGACTCATCCAAATGGTATTTTGCCATCATAAAAAAATGTTTTTTTGGTTCAATAAATGCTGAAATCAAACTATGAATTGGACAAATTCAAGGTAAATGTATTTTGTGCAAAGCATTTGCCATGCCTTTGGATAATATTATCTTATTATACGTAAGTGTTAAACAGATAGATTAAATTGTATTGGGTAGTTACAAATAAGTTTGTGTTCTCATTCAAATGAAGAATAATTCTGATTGATAAATACCACATGAAATATCAAAAATTTTATGTACTTCAAGATTTTAAATACTAGTACATTTTCATGAAATTTTATTGACAATAAAGAAAAATCATTTTGCTTGGTGACAATAATGTGGGGGAAATTTTACTCTTCAGAAGAGTTTATATTTTGGCATACTTTTAACTTTCATTAAAAAAATTAGAAATGTTTTATTTATTTACCATTTCTGCACATTCCTTCTTTCAAAAATGGAGATGTTAAGAATTGCTGAAATGGCACATATTGCATATTTTATTGCAAACTTTTTCATGTTTTAATTTATACATTGCAGTATCCATTTATGATAATGTTATTGTTTTCTACCAGGGAAGTGCTGTGTTGAAAATGCTTCAATATACCTTGAAAGATGACTTCAGACTAGGTCTTTCAGTAAGTATATTGTGATTATAAATCAGACTATATCTAATTTTCTTTCTTCATTTCATACTGTTTTTATAATGATTGCACAGGTCAGTCTTAGCTCATTTTTAAGTAACAGTAAGTATAGCAAATTCTTTTAAACTTGAATATTCACATTTTATGATCTATGCCAGGGTTGGCCAAAGTTTGGCTCGCGAGCCTGATACGACTCTCGTGAGCAATTTGTGCGGCTTATTATGTGTATGAAATATGGTAAACTAAAACTCTTAAGTGTCCAAAAGGAAATAACTAATTAGTTTAGACTCTTTTTTATAAAGTTATCAGGGATTTCTTTCTATTTGAAACCTCCTCCACTACTTCTATAATGATGTAAATATGAACTTGTGGCTTTTAGAAAATCTAGATGCGGCTCTCGAACATTCCTGAATTCAAATGTGCGGCTCGTACTGACATGAAGTTTGGCCAACCCTGATCTATGCTTAAATGCTCAGTTGCTAGCCAAAAAAAGAAAAGTCAGACCAAAATTGTCTGAAAATGTGGGTGGTCATTTTAAGGGTGTTTCACTTTATTTTGAATTAAATAGCTTCCATGTACATTTAGAAGTAATCAATATATTGCAGTCAGTATACTGCGTATATATGAATATATTGCATGCATGCTTTGCCAAGTAATGATTTGCAGAAAATCAATATATGCATGTATATACATATAATATCTCTAGCAAAGTATTTCGATTTCGTAAAATGTAAGTTCTATGAAATTAAATCTGTGTTTGAATAAATTTGTCTTTCAGCAGCATAAGGGCAAGTCTTCAGTAACTTTCTCTTTAAAAAATGAAAAGGAGAGATAGAAAAAGTTTCACATACAGTTAAAATGGAATAACTTCCATTTCACATATAAAGTTTTTTACTATTAATTTTACTATGTTAATTACTGATGTTATGGTATTCATTTAAATAAATTTCTACTTTTACAAATCCAGCCAATACTTAATAGATAATGCTTGCTACTCATTAAAATTCCTGTCAATGCAGGATGTGCATAACAAATCTGAAATTTGCATGAAGGATAGAACATATTGCACTATGTAAATGATTATTGTTTTAGTTATGCACACATTACAGACAAAAGTAATGGTACATCAAAGCAACATAAAATGGCAGATTGAAAGGCTAGTTTCACATTTAAAAATTATGTTTATTTATTGCCTTATCCATTAGAAATCAATTTTATATCTTATATGAGGAGAAAGAACTCATACCAACATGTCTCAGAATTCAGTTACAGAGGAATCATAGCCTATACCATTTGTCGATTATCATACTGCACAAGAATGTGATATACACGAATTTACATATATGCGCAGTTTGAAATTTGGGATCTTTTTTTTAGCAATAACGCTAAATGTGTTTAAGGATTTTGTTACAATGAATTGGCCATAGCTATTTTTAACCTTAAATTTCAAATAAATTTTTACGGAGAATTAATTATATGAAATTTTTTCCCACAATGATGCGTAATAAATATTTATTAATACAGTACAAAGTCTGAAATCCGGACTGGTCGGGACTTCGACGATTCCAGATTTGGGATTTTTCCGGATAATAGATCATCAGTTTAAATCTGGTAAGATGACATGCAGAAATTATACAATTAAAAATATGAAATAAAGAACAATTATGATCAAAATTTCCAAAAAAAGCTTTGTTGTTTATTTTATTAAACATTTCTTTCAATGTAAGTTGTTTAAGATGCTTCCACAAAAAGTTTCTTTTTCTTTTTTCTTGTGTCATATACAGTGGACTTTCCAATGCCATACTCCTCGCCTTTATCAATTTTTTGCAGCAATTCCACTTTTTGTTTAATGGGCATGGTTTCGCTGTGTAGTTCCTTTGGAAACTCTTTTCAACATAATCAAAAGTTCAAGCTTAGTTTTTGTAAAATTGCCGTAATAATAACAGTCTGCAAAAAATAATAAACTGGATCAAATTAGAAGATCAGAGAGCAGCGTAGTCTGTTACATTAATTGAAATGCCTTAGAATCAGTAAAGATAATTTTATCCTAACTTAATAGCATCCGTTATACATTATTGGATGTGTATCACAAGATTGCTGGCGAAAGCCAAGTTGTTTCATTAAATTTTGTCTTGCTCCTAAGCCTGAATTGTGTTAGTTTAGTTATTTACTATACCTACATTTATTTCTTGCACATGCTTCAAACTAATCCGAGTCCTGAATAAATAAAATCCTACATATACTTAAGTCTTTATCTAGGGCCGGTAATCAATATCACCTGGTGCAGTCTCTGCGGGTCCTAAATTCTGCTACAAAGCGCTTTCCTAAGTTCTAAATTTTCACCGTGCCTAAACTTTGGATCCCAGTGCTTTCCCTAAATCATAAATACTTCTCATTCCTTAACTTTGCCGCTCGGTGCTTCCCCAAATTCCAAAAATTTCGTCTTCCCTAAATTCTGCCATCCGGTGCCGACATATTGGATGCCGCTTTTGGGTTTATGGTGAATAACATATCAGTTATTCTTAATTAATATAGCACTAAATGTAATCTTTTGGCCTATGGGTTTCATTAAGAAAATTTATTTTTAGCATATGAAAAGAAATTTTTATTGAATTTTTCCTCATCAACATTTCTTCGAGCATTTAAAAATCTATAATCATTGCCAAGCGTAATGACAGCATAAAAGGCTGCCATACTTTTGTTATTCAATTACCAATATAGAAAAAAGTTTAGATATTACAGCATGAGTTATTACTGAAGCTGTCATGTGTTGATAAACATGTGGTGATGAAAGCAAAATATAATAAATAACGACTCACCAGGTCGGCGTCAGGGATGTAAAAAATAGGTGAATGTTTCGGTTTGAGATGTATGCCAAGTAGATACTCAGCTACGGAGCCAAATTACTAATCTCACAAATATATGCCTACATTATTGTTTTTCCATAATGAGGTATTTTATTTTGTGCTTAAGTGAAATTAAGAATCAGAATTTTTAAGTGAATATCTCCACATGTTTTATTATGGAAGGGAAAATCAAATGCGCATGCGTAAAGCATTAAATTTTAAAAAAAATGTTTGTGCCTCTGAGGTCCGGATTTTAGATTATTCCGGATAATGGACGTCCGGATTTCAGACATTGTACTGTGTTATATGAAAAGCTATTTTTTTTTTAATTATGGATATTTTTTAAATTTTTCCCCCTTTTATCTATATATAAAGTAGATTTTTACCTTCACATTCTTATTGTCTGCTAGTTTACTTTAACTTCATTTAAATTTAATTGTTTAAAACTGATAAAAGTTCGTTTGATGTTTATTTTCACAATATTTTTATGCAAACAAGACGTTGACGCTTTAGGTCATGTCCCAGCTTTAAAAAACATATATAAACATAAATTTTTATATTAATCTTCTTAGAAAGAATGTTTTAATTCTTTAATATAGAAATTATTAGGCTTAAAAACTCTAGATAATATGATTTGAATTTTTTGCATCCGATATAAGAACTGAGTCACTCGGTGGTACAGGATAAGCGCTACTGGATTGGTTTATTTCTTTCTCATTTAACAAAAATCTTTTAATTCAAATATTTATCCTTTGGACTTTGGTTTAAATTTTATTTATAGGTAAAATGTCTAGAAGCTGTCTTCAGCTGAAATGCATTTAATGCAACTGATATTTTAAAAAATTTGACAAGAATGCAAAATTTATGGATGTGTAACAATCTAAAAATTTTAATTTTCTTGTGGCAGCACTGAAAACTAATGTAGAAGGAAATTAGGGAGGAGGGAAAGCAAAAATTTAAAGGGGAATCTACTTCAAGGAAGTTGGGTGTTCAAAGAGAAATCACTTGGACAGTTACACCAGCAAATAGCAGCAATTGGGTTTGTGCTAACGGAAAAGACAAAAACGATTAAAGTGAAGAGTGACTGGTTTTCGACTGTATGGTTGTATAAATTTAATTTACTTCATAGAACATCATTTTGCATCATAAATGGAGCATCCCATGATTTCTCAGTTGAATTATTTAAAGATTCTGGAATATATCCAGTAACATAAATAGATATCAACTAAAAACGTTTTCATTCTTGATGAAATCAGTCTTTCCATTCATCTCATGCCTTCAAAATGCTTAGCCTGTAGAGACTGATAAGGACTCTGACCAAATACTGATGAAATGGATTAATATGGATTGTTAAGTTACAGCAAAGCCTGGCTATCTGCCTTAAAGGAGAGATGCTGTCGTGAAGAACTTTTTAAGTGAAACCAGCTCATATACACATTACACATAAGAAAAACCATAAGATTGCCCATGCAACCAGCCCGTTCGCCGTAATTTGAACCCCAAAGCGAACTATCAGTATTCAGCTACTTTACCGCTCGGCCATTTGTGGGATCTTTTGAAATGGAAGGCGATAACTTTATTTAAAATTAATGTTAGAAATGCCAATATGTTTAGAAAAATTGGATGCTTTTTAGTATGCTTGCAGAATGCCTGAAAAAAAAAAGAGAGCAAGCCATTAAAAAGAAAAAATAAATTTTTGCATAAAATTTAGTTTTTTTTTTTTTTTATGATATTTAATTCTTGCAGTTTCAAAAATAAAATATTTGACTAAACTATGAATAAAATTTATAAAATTAAATATAGGATGATAACATTGTGTAAAGCAATGGGCACAATGATAAAACTGTTTAAAGCAATGTATGCAAGTCATCCTAAATTAAAATGTCGGATGTATATCTTTCTTATTTATATATTTTTTCTGAATGGAACATTGAAAGATGTGTTAACTGTGCTTTACTGTATTTTCTCTTTTAATACACCGTGTTTCAAAAAGAATATACGTCTTATAAAGTGTTACTTTGTCCAAACTATCAATCACTGCGCCTCAGCTCAACTATTGGCAAAACAAATACATAGTCTGGCTTATATTAACAGTCGCTAGTTGTCAGTTGTCTTCCATTTTGCATGGCAACCATCACATGTTTAAAATGGCTACTCTGCAGCAGAAATCATTTTTGTGTTCTCGAGTTTGCGAAGTGCAATTCCGTGATTACAGTGCAAAGTTGTTTCAAGTTGAGGTATCAAAGTGATCCTCCGAATACTCACAGATGGTATCGACAGTTTGTAAATACAGGGTGTGTATGTAAAGGAAAGAGTCCTGGCTGCCCTCATGTTCCCGACAAAATTGTTGCACAAATTCAAACTGCTTTCCAGCATAGTCCTTCAAAATCAACTCCTCGTGCCAGTCGGGAGTTACAACTGCCTACAGCAACAATTTGGCGTGTTTGGAGACGCCAATTGGTTATGAAGCCGTACAAGTTACATTTGTTACAGGCTCTGCGCCCTGATGACAAGCGCAAACATGTGGTATTTTGTAACGAGATTATTGATGCTATTGACAATGATAATACTTTTGCACAACGCATTGTGTTCAGTGATGAAGCTACTTTTCGTGCTAGTGGTCATATAAACAAACACAATGTTCGAATTTGGGGCCTACAGAATCCACATGCAGCCATTGAACGTGTATGAGATTCGCCCAAAATCAATGTGTTTTGTGCGAAAGACAACTTCATTTTTCAAAAAGACTGGTCATTCCCTCACTGGTGTCACCAAGTGCGTGATTATCTGAATGAAACTCTACTGAACCATTGGATTGGTCGTCAAAGAGCTTAACATGTCTCAGCTGACCTCCACAGTCACGGGATTTGACACCGTGTGACTTCTTCCTGTGGGGTTTCATTAAACACATCCTTTATATACCACCACTCCCACAGAACTTGGAAGAGGTGAAGAACCGGATCCTTACTGTCATAGCATCAGTGAGGACGGACATGCTTGCTCGAGTATGGGAGGAATTTGAATATCAATGTGATATTGTTCATGTCGCTGATGGAGAACATATTGAACATCTGTAATCTGAACTTGAGAAGTTCATACATATGTTGTAAAGTTTCATATTGGTATGTTATACAGTTTAATAAATATACGCATTTGAAATACGTATATTCTTTTTGAGGTTCTAGGGAAAAAACCCACAGGAAAAATGTTCACTGAATAGTGCTCACTGGTATAAACGCTCACAGGAAAAAAGCCCACACAGAAAAAAAAAAACTCACATGGAAAATTGCTCACACAGAAAAAAGCTCGTGTAAATAAGCCCACTGATAAATAAAATACGTATAAATATCCTTATATTAACCAATCAATAATTAATCCATCTCAACAACATACACATACTTAATTTTTAAAAGAAAAATTATTTGATCATTTGAAAAAATATTGGACAAATGCTCACATAAATGTTTTCAGAGGCGGTATATAAATGAATGAAAACTACAGTAAAATTTTGCATGCACTATAATATTTTATACCACTGCTTAGCTACTTTAGCTTTCCACAAAAGATTGCGTATCAAAAAGATACTATTTTTTCCCATGCAGATATTTTCTACTTGTTTGATTGTCGTTTGTGATGCTTTAATTCATACTCTGTTATGTTTATTAAAGTAATTTTGTTAAATTGGCATTTCGTGTCCTTTCATTTATCAAAAAGAACTGTTACCATTCTAAATATTAAATATAATGGAATACAGTCTGGATTCTTTCATGAAAACATGGTTAACAGTCAGTAGTATTTCACTATGTTACAAAACTGGTTGTTTCCGAGGCTGTACAAAGACAACTTCATTTTTCAACAAGAAACCCCATCACTGGTGCCGCCAAGTGCATAATTATCTGAATGAAACTCTACCGAACCATTGGATTGGTCGTCAAGGAGCTGGCAACTTAGCATGTCTCAGCTGGCCTCCACGATCACCGGATTTGACACCCTCTGACTTCTTCCTGTGGGGTTTCATTAAAGACAACGTTTATGCACCAGCATTCCCACAGAACCTGGAAGAGATGAAGAACAGGATCCGTACTGTCATAACATCAGTGACGACGGACATGCTTGCCTAAGTATGGGAGGAATTTGAGTTTCCATGTTATATTGTTCATGTTGCTGATGGAGGACATATTGAACACCCGTAGCATCTGTAATCTAAACTTGAGCGGTTCGTACATATGATTGTAAAGTTTCATATTCTTATGTTATACCGTTTAATAAATACAGTAAAAAGTCTTTAATCCAGATGTCCATAATCCGGAATAATCTATAATCCAGACCTCAAAGCTACAAACTTTCTGCGCATGCGCATAATACCTTTATGCATGCGCATATGCATTTACGCATGCACATAATACGTTTATGCATGCACGTTTAATGTATGATGGACGGTATAAGCCAGGCTCAAATTGTCTAATTATCTATTTCAGTTAATGTTGCAGATTGCGTTGTTCCTTAATCTTCTAATTGGATCTGGCTTATTATTTTTTGCAGACTGTTAGAGCAATTTTATAAAAAGTAAGCTTGAACTTTCAATTATGTCAAAAAGAGTTTCCGATTCTGGAGCTGCCAAAGGATCTACAAAGCGAAAGCATGTTTCTATGTCCATCAAACAAAAAGTGGAATTGCTGCAAAAAATGGATATGGAAAAATTTTGAATTTCTCCATAAATTTCGCACCAAATTTTACAAAATTTAATATCTAGGCATAATTTGAGTTGTAGAATCGAAATGTGTAAAAAATTGGTATGTTATTTCAGAAAAAGTCCGATTTTCTGTCAAAATACCTATGTTAGAATAGTGCTATGTATAAATCTAATATATATCCTAAGTCGCGCTTTCGAGACATGAAAAACGCAATTTGAATTTTGTCAGTCAGCCTGGTAGAACGGGAGATATAGAACTGTCTCATTTGTTTTTTGCGCAGTGTACATAGACATGTCAGTGTTATGAGTCAGCTTTCCTAATGAATCCCACTCTTGCTTATGGCATCATGAGGGCCGTAGCGATGTGTAAAAGCATAAAAGGTAACAAATGCTGGAAACTTGCATTTTTCATTGCCATAACAACCCAACATATGTATTGATAGTATAGGGTGCCACTGGGTATACATCCTGTTCAACTTTTGCCATCATATCGGCCACCATTACATTACCGAGTTTTTGATGCTTGTAGCTGTCCTCTCTATTTTGAAATCTTTGTTGTTTCCCTTTTTAAGTGGGATAATCCAAAATTGCATGTTGCTTTTGCATTTCTACATTTCCTTAATACACTGGGTGTTGATTTCTGCCTTAACAAGCACATTTTCCTAATTTCTTGTAACTGAAACTACTGGTGATGGTTGGAGAGAGACTGGCAAAATAACACCTGACAGGCATTATGACTCATAAAATCTGCATAAACTGAAATATCTATAATGCTCGTCAAAATTTGTTTGATTTCATGCCTAATTATACCCCTTAGAGTTGCAAATACTGGCTTAGTACTTTACTCTGATAGTTATGACTCTGGGGGCATAAAATACACAGACCCAGTTCTTACTGACTGAAAGAGCATCCTATGCTGTTCCAGAGAGTAGTGGTTCAAGCCATCCAAGTTGGTAGCTTGATTAACAGACTACAGTTCATCAAATAGTTACCTCACCTTCCATGGTCTCCTTGCCCACGGAAGCTGTTTGTCTCCTTGGGAAGCTGTTTCAACATTGGGTGACAAGAGAGTGTTCAAAATTCAAAAATCTGACATCCATAGAGTGGGCTTCCATGGGCATTGCAGCAAGTGATATAATTATTACCCTCTGTGAGGAACATTTGACTGTCCACAACCCATCTTCTGCTTAATGCGGAGCTTAGCGGCCAGTCTATGGGGTTCCTTTTAGTATAGCTGAACACATAATTAAACTTTACTTGCTTTCATACCCAATTATATAACAGCTACTATTTTTGAGTGAAGCAGATGCTCAGAGTAATGATTTTTACATGTTCTGTACCTCAAAATACCTGAAATTTAGTGATTTTATCCTTTATTATTGTAATGTATTTGTAGAATAAATATTATTCTGCCAACAACTTTCCTCTGTTGAGTAGCAATTTTAATATCCAGCAATGTGTAATTTTTACCATAAATATATGCTATATAAGCAGCTGGAAATTATTAAAATGTTTAATGACAACATACAGTGCCATTCACATGTAAATGATATGAAAACAAAAGTAAAACTGCTATTTCAAATGATATCTATGATATAATCACATTTAATTCTTATCTATAAACTATTGTATAAAATTAATTATGCTATTCACAGAAAAATATTTTAAAAAAATAAATGTAAGCAAACATAAATAAGCAATATTAATTTAGCTCAGTTGCTATTGTTTTTTGCATAATTTTTACTTCAGGATTACCTTCTGTTCTTTACTTTCTGTTATAACATATATTTGTAAAATAGATACGATTATGCTTTCCTTTGTGGTACAATAATTTTAATGGCCAGCAATGTGTGTTTCTGATTTTACTTTTTTTTTTTTTTTTTTTAGCTGAAGAAAGTTTTAATACATCAAGAAACTGTAATTTTTCACTAAAAAGGCAAACCATATATTTTATCTTGAAATATGCTTAATCTTATCTCAAGTAGGTTAAAATTAAACTAAATTTCAAAAATATTTAAATAAATTTCTGTGGGGTCATTTTGTTAAAATTATATTATTTGCAGTTTTTTAATAAATAAACAGCCTTCATTCTGTCTTTTTTTTTTTTTTTTTTTTTTTTTTTTTTTTTTTAGAATTACCTTAAGAAATATGCATACAAGAATGCTGAAACAAAAGATTTGTGGGTTGAGCTTTCTAATGCTTCCAAAATGGTAAGTTGCCACCAGAATCATCTGAATCACTGTCTATTCTCTTCCTTTTAATAAATGTAATATACAGAGTTGCTATATTTGCTTCAAAATAGATGTAAATTATACTGTAAAAATATAAATATGATTACAGGTAAAAACATAGAAATTACATAAGGCACTATTATAACATAAGTATCTGCTTATCTTTTAACACACTTTAGTAGAGTTTAAAGTAAACTTGAAATTTTTACTAACACCATTCAAGTAGAACAGTGTTTTACATTTTAAATACTTATTTGCAGGGTATACCAATATTTTGATATTATCAACCCCAAATTTCTTATTTATTGTAATGATTGAAGGAAAAAATGATACCAGGTGTTCTATAGGATTAAATTATTTTTTGGTTTTCAAATGTGAAATTATACACTGCAGTGTCAATTTAATGATAACCTTGATTTAGCACTTAAACTGAAGTTTTCAATGTGTCCAGCCTGAAACTTATAAAAACAGGGTCAAGTTATCCCCAATTACATTATTAAATAGAAAAGATATACAAGACTATTATTTTATTGAATACATATGCAAGAAACTGTGAAATTTGTTCACAGAAATTACGACACTATTAGCAAGTCCACAATTAAGCATTTAGCAAAGGAAGATTTTCTCTTTCAAGCTAAGATGATGAATTGGAAGTTACTGAGTTAGCTCTTTGTCACCTCATCAGAAGCACATGGTATTTTACAATGTATGAAAAATTATTAGATGATGACAATTTTTAATGCATATACTATTTTTGATTAAGGCAATAAGCAATGACAAATATAAAATGAAACAGGGCTACATTAAAAATCTTTTAAAGATAATATTTTTGTTATGTATGTGTTTAACAGTACTAGATAAATGGGAAATACGAACAAAACTATTAGCATTTTAAATAATATATATTGTGCTTAAAACAAGATTCTGATTTAATGATACTTTTTGTTAATATATTAGTGATCACTGAATTGGGATTTGACTTTATTTAAATGTTGAATGCTTTAATTAAAGCCCATGAGAGCTCTCTGAGAGGGGATTAATTGTGCAGAGAATTTTCTTAAAAAGAATGGTTTGTATTTATATTAAACATGGGAAAAACTATGAAAACATCTATGTGGCCAGCCTATTCATTGGGATTCAAACTGTCAGGGCTCAGCTGTCTTATTAACTCAGCCATTTGTATGTGACTATATTTAAAACATTTTAGAAATATCATATATGTTTAAAAGTATATTATTTTTTAATTACTCCCCTAGTTAGTTAGTTAATTTCTAAATACAGAATTATGTTATATTCCTGTACAATATATGAACACTTACTGTGAAGACTTATTGCAATTAATGGTATAAATTTCTTCAAAATACAATAACACAAAAATTTTTGTTAACTTATTATAAGTTAACTTAAGATAAAAGTATGCTTTAGTAGAGTTATTTGGCTACAGTATTTAGTTTCTAATAGCTTGAAATTAAAAAATTTTATCACACTTGCAAAATATGTAGTTGCTTGTTTACAAAGACTACAGATATTGACTTTGATATTTAATTTATTTCATATAAAAATGAAAAAGAAGATTAATGAAAATTTAGTTGAAATTTCGTCTTCATTATAAGTGTTTTATAATGAAAATGAAATTGCACTTGTATAGATTTGGTGTTGATGCTACTGTTAGTAAATCGAAATTTGTAAACTGTAAGGCAAAAAAAAACCTGTTACCAATTTATTTTATTAAAATCTTCAGTATATAATGTCTTTCATTTTAAAGTCTTTATTCTCTTAATTTTCCAGTTGAAACAAACTATAAACAATGAAAATAGTTTTCTTGATAAATTAAATCTCAGCCTGACATGAGATTTTTTATATCCAAAACCAGGGTAGTATTTTTATTTATAAATTATCAGTTGAATAATTTGCACTGTAATTTTCTATCCTGTAGAAGCTAGCTCCTCAAAATAAGAATTCTCATGTAAAATAACTAATCAAATTATTTAATAACTTCTTTTTATGTATTACCAATATGGAAAAAGAAAATGTTGCTCATTTGGGAATATGTGATATAAAGTATTTTTTATCTCCTTTCTGCATACCTTCATGGTGTAACGGTAGTACACTCAGCGTGTATTCAAGACGTCCAGGTTCCTGGCAAGGGCATTGCTCAATTTTCATGTTTCCTGCTTCAGAAATCCTAATAACTCTACAGTGATTAGTATTAGGAAAAGTATAAAATATTGCTGAAGGCCCTGTACATCTTTTATTTTTAATTTTGCCATTTAATATTTTTTAAAGCTGAAAAATATATGCTGCAAAATAATATTTTCCTCTAAATTTTAGAGCATTCTGTTGAAGGTACTACTGAATTTCATCTGCTGAGTTCTGTGTCTGATCTTCTTTTCACAATAAGCAGACACAGTGAAACATTTAGAAATGTTTTAGATTTGTTCTTTGAAAAAAAATATTAGAAAGACCTCTTTGATATACAAAATTAGCATCTTAAGAATGATCTCTATGAATTAAGCATACATATTTTCTTGTAGCAATTATTTTAGAATATGTTTCCCTGCAACAAAATAATATCTCTATTTAGTTACAGTTTTCGTGAATATTAATATTTTTATTTTAGAAATTAAATTTTATTAAAATAGCTTGGACTGCATTAAATTAGAAACTTTCTATCTTTCTGAAAAACTCATTTTTGTTTGCTCATTTGGAATAAATGATATGTTGTTTGATAGGAAACAACATTATGTTAATATTTTTTGCATCTAACTGAAAGAAAGTTATTAAAAGTGTAGATATATTATATCAAACAGAATAAACTTTGGTATCATGTTTTTGGGTCAAATGAAAACCGTTTTTGAACCATCAGCTGAACATCTTTATATATGTCTTAAACCTTTAGGCAAAGGCATATGTTTCACTGAAGCTATATTAATACAAATCAACAGATTCAAATTGCTAATAAATTTTTGAGGTTCAAAGGTAAAAGAAAACATGGAAAGTATTTTATCTATTAAACTCTTGCTTATTATCATAGCTTAATTAGCTTCAATATTTACTTTTTCATCTCATAAGGCTTATATTTTTATCTATTTATCTTTTATGATTTTATTTATTAACTTAATACATCAATTGACATCTATTGGTGCTGCTAAGATTTTACTGCTGTTTATTATTCAAGCCCTAGTGCTCTTATGTTTGACATTCTTGTTGCTGTTAAATAAAAAGTTATTTTTCAGTCACGAAAAACATTTTGTTAATAATAAAAAAGAGCTAATTTTTTACTTTATCACTGCATGTATTTTAGGATGTCAACATCACTGAAGTCATGGATACCTGGACACTGCAAATGGGTTTTCCTTATGTTGAACTTGAGAGAAAAGGAAGCACACTTACAGTCACTCAGCATTGGTTCCTAAGAAGGATGAATGATACTACCATTGATGGCCTGTCAAAAATCTCTCCTATGTCACCATTCCAGTATGTATTATTTTAAGCATACTGTTGAATTTTTGGAAAAATTCTGATTTTTATATTTCAATAAAACAGGTTATAAATGCCCATGATGTTTATGGCATTTGTTTTGCAGAATCTAAAATTTGTAAAAATGAATATTAGATATCATGTTCATTTAAAATGCCATTTTGTTTTACTATTAATTTTACGAGCCTACCTTAGAGGGTGCATTTAAAATAACGCATACATCTGCAATAAAGATTTGACAAGGTGGTAAGAAATCTGCTTCCAGTCTTTCATTCTAATCTTCGAAACCATAAAAAAATAATCAGTTTAATTCTAGGACAATATGAAAAAATGCACTAAAATATATTACATTAAGAATGCATAATGTAATGTACTGTATATTTTATCTCATGTTGGTAATGTCTTACTATACATAATCAATCAATTAAACTCCACTGTATTCATGTGTATTACTTGAATGTCACATCATAGATAATGGTTGGTATTATTGTAGTTACACAAAATGACAGCAAAACTTCCAGCACAGTTATATATGTTAATTCATGCTGTTATTATTAAAATAGTAATTCTGCTATTGAAAGTAGCCTGTTATGGAACACTAACAGGCTATTTTCATTTCCATATGTTATTATTATTCAGTTTCATAGAAATTGCTTTTGTAAGAAAGTGTAAAGCTTTTTCCCCCTTTCTTTAGTCAGTTTTTGTTAGAGTTACTAAGAAACTAAAATTATAATTATGTATAAAACTTTGTACTTTGCTTGTGAATTCATTGGAATTACTGTACACCTCAAAACAGGAGGGAAAACTGTTTCATGATATTTGGGTGTTTGTTCACAAAACAGACAAGTCACAAGTATGATCAAATTTTATATTTCTATAGCTTCTAAACCTCTGATTTTTTTTTTTTAATTAAACTTCGCGCACATGTATATGAAAAGAGGCTGTAACAAAAAGGAAAGCAAATATATTGAAGAATGTTGAAATTTGAGGAAAGAAGTGTGCAAATATTTATTTTAAGTGTAACTGAAAACCCTAAGCTATACTCAAACAATGACTGCATAAACTATAAATCTGTTTTCCTACAGAAACTTGTTATTCATAGATATTTTTATCTTACAGTTTCATTTGGAAGATTCCTCTTGTCTATAAGAATTTAGCATCTGGGAATGAATATACTTTATGGCTGAATGATAAGAATGGTTAGCAATTAAATTCCTTATACATATGTATGTATTTTCTATCATTTGCTTTAAAAGATAATGATGAATAAAATTAAATTTCCAGCCACATTCCATATTCAAGCTGAAGAAGATGATGTTATAAAGTTTAATCCTGGATTTGTAGGATTTTACATAGTAAAATATGATGACTCAGATTGGGAAAAGCTTAACAGAAGGCTTCAAGAGAGCCACACGGTAAAAATTCTTCTGTATTTTATAATGATAGTACAAACGGCATACATGCTAATTTATCCTCAATGAGTAAAGCAGATATTATTATCAATATGCGTCTGGGGTCATTATACAAATGAACATAGAGAAAGGAACAAATAGGAGTTTCCAAATGTGCAATGTTGGGATGCTTTACCCTGTACCATACGATGTAAAATCTGTTTCATATAATAAAATTTTCCAGAATAATAGGTGTACTTATAGTAAATCGATCATTGAGGGGGACATATGTATCCCACCATTGACTATGGCTAAGACATATGTGTCCCAGACATTGGCTTGAAAAACCGTTTATCAAAAAATCCCAAATGCTAAATTTACCTTATTTATATGACATATTTTATTCACTTGGATAGAAAACGGGATAATTTAGTTTTTAATTCATAGCCAAAGGGTACTGTGTATCATACTTGTAATAGGCACGTATATATACATAATGTTGTCACATATATATATTGCTTGTTGCATTGTGCTGTGTAGTAGATAAGATTTAAAATGTTCTCCACACGCACACACTAAATATAGATAGATCTTTCATTTTATTGTTGCGAAATTCCCAGTTGCAGTGAGATAGCTTACAGGCATAGCAGTGTTGGGGTTGCCAGAAAGTTGCAGATAAAGGCAGCATTGCCACATTTGGCCAGAAATCGCCCATTTGGAGATATTCGGCGACAGAATTGTAATTATGCCATAGACAGAGCAAGAACATTCTAGAATACATTCATAGCTGTTTTCTCGGGAATATTCTCGAAGGTGGGTTAAAACTATATATACCCTGCCTGTCCTGGGAGAAAGTAGTACAGTAGAATTCCAGAAATCCGCAAAGCTTGGGACCAGAGGGTTGTGCGGATTTTAGGATTTTGCAGATTTCAGAACAGAAAAAATAAATCATAATATTCAGACTGTAAGTGCAAAATAAATAAGGTGTATTAGATACATTTAATTAAATTAATATATATCTTACTGCAATAACTTTATTATATGCCTTAAATTATTATTACATATATAAATTTATTATATTATTCATTGTATTATATATACATAGCAGCAAGGTTTGCCGATTTCACCTCATGCAAAGATTTCTGGTTTCGGATTCCGGAGTTAGAATCACAGTTGCTGTAAAATTTCAACAGCTTTTCTTTATTTTTCTGTATATCATACACAATCATATTGCATTTCCATATGATTCTGTTATAAACCGATGAGTAGCACCTGTCTCCATCTTTTGCAGAATTTGCACTTTTTGCATTACCGTCAATGCAGCATCTTTATGTTTTTCACCATTGCAAGCAATAAAATCATGAGTGCATTTATAATCTGTAATTGTATTAAAAAGGGCTGAAATTTAAAATATTCTTAATTTATCCACAAAATAACCGGATAAAAAAAAAAGCAGCACTGAATAATCTTGTGAAATAAGAAAGTTTAGAAAATACAACAACATGAATTGTGAACTTGAAAGAAGAGTTGAGTGAATCATCTGCTTTCTTACCTAGATGCAGATTAGAGGAGAAAAAACTTCTATCGTCATGTCAATAATTTGGTATTTCCATTATGACTCATTATTATTCAGTAATTATGACGTTATTATTCGGTAAGTATTTTTTCTTCGATATTTTGTACTCAATGTTGCGGTTTCCGGAACCTATAAACTGCATGTTTATATTTTGAAAGGCAATGTGGATTTCAGGTCGCCAGATTTTCAGTATTTGACTATATCTTGAGTTCAGAGATTAACTTAAGAGCGACTGACCAAGCTGAGAGCTGTACTGTAGTGCTTTGCTGTGAAGCTATTTTCACCTTATAGCCTGAAGGCTGTGTTGCTAATTGTTTCAGCGTGTTTATCATAGTTTTTACTTCCTTGTACGAAGTAAAAAGGAAGTATTGTAATCGCAAAAACTTTCAGGCAGCATATTTCAACGAAAATATCCATTTTGACAGCTAATGAATGCAATTTAACTATGTTTTTGCATGATATCTGTACGTGAGGACAGACTAAAAGACTCGTTTCCTCCAAAAAAAATTATAAAACTGCTTTATAATTAATTCTGAAGAGAATTTTTCATGGCGTCTGTACAAACGTATGTACGTACGTATCTCGCATAACTCGAAAACATGTAGCCTCAGAACGTTGAAATTTTGTATATAGGACTGCTATAACATGTAGATGTGCACCTCGTATTTTGGTTGCAATCGGCCGCACCAAACGTATATAAATACTATATTTATATATATATCCACTCTGTTACTCGGCACAGTGATCTCAGTTTCTTTACTCTTATATGTTTGTAAATTGTACATTTTTTGCTTTAAAAATGATTGAATTATGTTGTTCTTATCTTCCGGTTAAGGTTTTTATGCCTTTCATAATTCTGGAAGTATTTGTACAATTATCAACAATTTAAAAGCTGTTTAAGTGCCGTTAAGTTTTAAATAACATGGCGGACATATTTGTTTACATTTGAAACAGCAGAATTGTAGATTTGTTGCCAATCTAGAGAGACTAAGCTTCGCAACAACAAAAATAACGCTTTCATTTGTTATTGCGAATTAAATCATGCTTAATCCTTTCTGGAATTTTTTCGAGGAAATAAGTGTTTAAGATTTACTTCGTAATTTTTAATACAGATATTTTGAGTTTTTATGTATTTTTGCCTTGTCGCCAAGTGAGAACTGAATTAATTGAATGAGAAATACTAAATCGTCTGTGAAAAACTGTTTCTTTTCTGTTTTGTTTGCTTAATTTCTTTCATACATCGTTCTAGCTTTATTATAGTATTTGAATAGAACATGTGGCAACGATAAGATAATTCTTCAAATGATATCAATTTTGTGCATTCAGAGTGTCGTTATAGTAAACAAATATAGTGAATTTTAAAGAGTGCATTTATTCTATTGTGGTTTATGCGCTGTCGACGAAGTAGATTTTATTCAATCCAATCAATTTAAATGAAATTCAAGAAAAAAATGCGTATAATTTAATATTCCGTACAAGGAAGTCGTGGTGTACACATCAGATTTTTTTATGACTGTAAACTTATCTTTTGGAACTGTCCTGTGTGACAGTGCCTACTGGCAAATAAATTGTGTTTTGATTCTTCATCAAGTGTTGTCATCAATTACTCCAAATCCACGAACTCATAAAACACGACATTATAAAGTCTGAAAGAGCATTAATGATCAATTCAAACATTTGATGGTATTTATCAGCTCATTCTTTTAGATTATCTAGAGGAATAAATTATATAAACATTTGAATTCTATTCTAATGGGCATGGCTACCTAATGAGTATATATTACATTGCTCATTAGATAGCTATCTTATTATAATAAAATACTATAAACTTGTTATGATAGAGTTCAATGTCTGTGATGAGCAAAATAACATGATAATAATTTATGATTATTTTTATACAAATTTTAACACAACACAGATGTAATAAAAGAGGGTTTCAATGAAGGCATTGATTGCTACAGGACAAATCTTTATGATGTGATGGTGAGAAAAAAATAAACAAATGGATAGATCAATATTTTTTTTAATAAAAGATGTGGAAAAACTGTCATTCATGCAAACCTAATAGAAATTTTTACTTCAGTTTATAATATGTTTCTTTTACTGATATATATTCTTTATTTTGTTTAAACTTAAAACTTTGTATAAACTTTAAATTTCAAAAGGTATGTGGTTTCATAATAGAGAGCAGTAATCACAATTATTTTTATACATTGTTAAGGTGTATGTATCTTATATTATTATGTGAATAAAGTTTTTTTCGGTAAATTTTTTCAGTATACCTTTGAGAATAGATGAAATATTAGTTTCTCTCATCATCATTCTTTTTTATTTATTTATTAATTTTTTCTAAATAGGAAAATATTATACAATGAATCCTATCATCTGCGCACATAACATGATCATCTTGAAAAGCAGAGAAACATTAACAAACATGTACGTATCTCTCTGAAATGCTCACTCTTATAGATGACCAGATTAACTGGAGATGTGAGTGATTGTCTTAACGAATATTCACTATACTTATCATAAATCATTCCTATTCAAATTTATAGACCAATAATGTATTTATTGTAGAAGGTGCAGGAGAAAAAAAACTTCTGTTATGACTATTGTTATTGTTTGAACATTCATTATATAATATTTTCTTATATTCTGCTTAAATAACAATCTAATGAATTAGTTAACATAAACAACTTAACATATTTTACATTTGTATTTCAGAAGTATAATGAACCCTCTCTAAAATTATCACCCTTGAATCTAGAAAATGATTTAAACTATCTTAGAGAGTTGATGTTTAGTATAATATTTATTTATGTTTTCAAAAATGCTGGTAAATTTCAAAGGTATTTATTTGAGGGAAGTGACATTTTAGGGAAGGTTCATTGCCTTTTAATTTAGTTTCCTGTCTTTAAGCAACAGAGGGCTTAAATCCTTTCATATCTACAAAGCCACTTTGAGTTTGAAAATGGATTGGTTGATACATGTATTGGTTTGAAAACATATTGGTTGTATGAATATAAAGAACTAATACCACAGTAATACATTCATAAAATAAAATTTTCCTATTTTTATAGCTTTTTCTTTGTATAAATATGTATGTACTATATTTAGGATTTCAGTGTAACAGATCGCTATAACCTTCTCCATGATGCTTTCTTGTTGGCTGAAACTGATCGATTGATATATGACATTCCACTAGAATTGACTAAGTATTTAAAGAAAGAAAAAGAAGTGATGCCATGGAACCTTTTTAGAGATCATTTCATTCATTTCCTTCGACGAATGGATGGTCAGTCTGAAACTGTGCAGTTACTGAAGGTGACTTGACTATTATTGTTATTATTGTTTTGGTTATTATTATTACATTGGCACATAAATCTTATATAATGCATATCTGTATAACATAAAGCATTATTAATTATCTTGTGAATAAATAAAAACATTATGGCCCACAATATAATATGACATTATAGAATTATAATCCCTACTACTATGGGAGAATTAAATAAATGAAGGTTTCTGTATAAGTTCCTAGACATATGAAAATGTAGATATGTTTGTCCTCGATGTGGAGGAAAATAAAGGTTAATATCCGAATTCAGTATTAGGACATTTCATTCATTACATGTAATCGTGTATGCATCTGCATTGTTTTATCTTGCTTTTATGTCAAAAATCTCATCTTTATTTGAATTTTACTTTATAGGATTTTTCCAAATTTTTAATCACTTGATTATTCTCACAGACATTACAGTAAATGAAGTTTCATGAATAGCTGAAATATTTAAACAATTTAGTTGCAACAGTCTATAGTGTTAACATTTTTAGGAGAATCTGGCCATCTGTTTCATGATTCTATATGATTAAAAGCATGATCGTATGTTAAACTGACTGACTTTTGTTCATTACAGTCAAAAGTCGTTAATCCGGACTCATCGGGACTTCGGCGATTCCGGATTCTCGATTTTTCCGGATTATAGATCATCAGTTTAAATCTGGTAAGATGGCATGCAGAAATTACAAAATTAAAAATATGAAACCGTAATTTTATGAAATAAAGAACAATTATGATCTAAAGGGTATCAAAATTTACAAAAAGAAAAAAATATTTATTTGTTTACTTTATTAAACATTTCTTTCAATGTAAGTTGCTTCGTTTCATGTGATGATACTTTCTCTTTAATTCTATTAAACAGACGTAATTTCTTGTTTAGTTACAAAGTTCCGCTGTTCAAGTCCTATAATTGCTGTGTTGAGAATACCGACTAATTTGTCAATCGAAATGTTTTCATTTTCAATAACCTCTGGGTCACTTTCTTCAACTATCAGAAGCGAATTATAATGACGAGGAACTTGATTTAAATCATATCAAAGACGGAGTACATCGAAATGAAATACTACACCTAGTAAGGAATTATAAGCCAAATAAAATAAAAACATCTGCCCTGAAGATAAGGATAATGCTGACAGATCAACTTCCAATCCGCCGCATGAAATTGATAAACAGATTTCGGATTTCAAAACATACTTTCGCTTTGTAGATACAAATTGCATATTAGTAAATATATATCGGAAATTTTATTTGACATAATCGAAAGTTCAAGCTTACTTTTATGAAATTGCTCTAACAGTCTGCCAAAAATAATAACCCAGATCCAATTCGAAGATTAAGGAACAACGCAATCTGCAACATTAACTGAATTAGATAATTTTAGCTTAGCGTATACCTCCATTACACATTAAACGCGCATGCGCACAAACATATTCGCAGCCGTAAAGGTCTTACGTGCACTCTTAAACGCCTGTGAACGCGACGCATGCGCAGAAAGTTTGTAGCTTTTTGAGGAAGTTTTGAGGTCCGGATTATAGATCATTCCGGATTATGGGTGTCCGAATTAACGACTTTTGACTGTATATGAAAAACAATAGGTAAATAAGAGCTAAATAGGGGGTAAGAAAGATGTTTTTAAATATTTATAGTCTCGAACTGAAATACTGAATGAACCATTTATAAACTGATTGAAATCAAAATGTTTGGTAAAAATATGTAACATATGCAGCTATAGTTTATATTCACTGCTTAAAAAAAAATAAGCTTTATTATCCCATCAACCATGAAAGTCAATGGAGATCCTGCTAAAGCTGCACCAATTGTTTTCATAAAATTTTAAAGAAACTGATGCCTTTTTTATCTAACAAACAGTAAGTATTTGACCCACTCCATTGTTGCACTTCTTAAAAAAAATTTCGTTAATTTTGACCAGTTTGTTAAGCCCTCCGATTTTACAGGAAGATCTACTTAGAATGCTATGAGTGCCAATTTCCCACTTTTGCTTCCAGTCTGTTACTGTATTGTCAACCATATTCAGCTGACTATATTTTGTCCATTAATACATACTTTTTTGATGGTAGCATCCCATAATTTTGAAAATTATCCACTGTTTATTAATAAAATAATAATAAATATTAATAAAATAAGCAGATGATGCTATTCTGTAGAATGCAGTCCCCAAATTTTAATCTCTCTTCCCCCCCCCAAATTCAAGAAAAAATACAGCAGTAACAGTTAAATTTTGTACCCTTGATCATAAAAACAAAAGGTGGCTTATTGAAAATCAGTCAGGATTCCATCAAATGAAAGCACAGATGTTATGAGTGTGTTGTTACATCATGCTTATCCATAAGGTACTAAATTACACTGCTTGGCAAGAGTTTCACGATCAATGCGATAATATGTAAGTATCAAAGGAAATCTTTCTATAGGTGTGTAACAATATGATGTTAGAAATATCTAATAATTATTAATTAGATATATTATAAATAAATGCATTTAAATTTTAGTTGTTGGATATATTGCCAAAAAAGCAAAATAATGTTTTTAAGTATTAAGAACTGCATCCATTATATGAAACAGTGTTATCATGTTAAGCAATTACAAGTTAATTAAGTTTGAAATATAAACAAGAATGTAACAAAACTTTGAAAACTGACTATTTACAAAACTTTTATTTTTACTACTGCAATATGTGTTCACTCATGTGGCTGGTAAGTGTATAAAAGTGTAATAATAACAATTCTTAAAATTTTGTAAAGACTCCTCTCATCATGTTTCTAACATAAATATGTTTGTGAATTCCTTTTGCCAATGCTCTCATAAAATTCTTCTCGTAATTAAATTTTTGTTCTAAAAATTATTCATGCAATACAAAAAAATATTGATTTTTTTGCTATTGTCTAATATAATGTTTTATTATTTGATTTATAAATGCCATTTTTAAAGATTTTTCAGTAAATTCTTTTTCGTTCAGAGATATGCTCGAGCTTTAACTGCAGATCTTTATGATGAATATGTCTGGACTGCAAGAAATAACAGGTAGGAGAAATATCAATATACTAAATATGTTCCTGTATAAAATTTTAGTAAAATATACTGAGAACATGATCTTATATTCTTACAGCATTTTCAAGAAATGGGATATCACCCCTGGCAGCTGCTCTTACACATTTCCTGATTTGTAAGTTTAAAATATTTTTGTCCTAAATAAGTGCAAATTTTGATAGAAAATCATGTTTTGGAGAATGCAATAACCACAGTAAATATACGCATTGCAATCTTGTCCTCACATCCATTGTCTCAGCAGCAGACAGGTGTGGCAGCTTAAACATGCCTATTAGTGTTTTTCCGTGTAACTTTAAGTGAATTTTGTACTAATGTAACTAAATTCAGAAAACAGAAATAGTAATTGTGGATTTTTTGTGTTTTCTCCTTAAAAAAAGCTCTAAAATTGAGGTCACATCTCAGCTTGATGACAAAAATATGTTTTTTAGAGAGTCATAGCTGTTAGAGGTCAAAGAGTATTTGACTTACATCTTTGTTTCCATATTCACACTTTTCTATTGAACTTTACGTTACTTCTCTCTTTCTGCTTGTTCTTATTAATGTTCTTCACTTCTATTTATATAAAATTATCATGGTGTAAAATAATACATTATGCTGCATAGGATGGCAGACTTTTTTAGTTATTTACTAAAAGTTTAGAAATTTTTACTGCAGAGATAGTACTTTTCTTTAACCCGTTCGTGACCAAGGTCGTGTGGACGCGACGCAGCAATTCCACTCTTATCAGCCCAGCGTCGCTTCCACGCGAAGAGCTCCGATTGATATGGAGAGACCAGCGTCGCGTATGCGTAATCGGAAATCGGAACGTTTTATTTGAATTTTTAAATGCTACTAGATGGCGTTAAACGGCAACGGTTTTCACAACGGTCGACTCATATGGTATTTGACCTTCATGAACGGGCATTGGTTTCTGTTCTATGCTTCTGTATTTGATATATTTATTGATGTAAACAAAGTGAGATCACGGCTCTTTAAGGGCTGGGATTTATTGCTCGCTGTGTTTATATTTTGACAGATTGTGGAAAGTTATGGAACGTTTATTAGTTGAAATGTTGAAGTAGAATTGCGTTTGTCTTTTGAGGTTTGACAGAGCGAGATTTCGAAATAGATGAATTAATCAAATAGTGGAAATGGAAGAAAGATTTCTTCTAGTTAATATAAACAAACTGGGAAACACGGGTGTTTGAAAGGGCACGTGTGAGTTCAAGTGACTTGTTTATTGCTTTGTTTTTTTCATTAGGAGAATATGGGGGAGTACATTCAGCGGATTAGCAACGGGTAAGAGTAAAATATTTGTGTTCGGTTTTGGCGCCTTTTTTTTTTTTTTTTTTTTTTTTTTTTTATGTGTGTGTTTCGTAGAAGTTTAGGGATATGTGATCGGAAAATTCAGTGAATTTATTTGCATTTAATGACAAAAAGAAAAAAGTGCTGATGTTATCAACTATACATGACGGCGTTATTGTGCCAATTGGTAAAAAAGACCGAAAGACTGGAAAGGACATTTTGAAGCCACTCTGCGTTGTGGAGTATAATCACAATATGGAGGGTGTTGACATTGGCAATTCTATTATTCATCACTATCCAGCATTTAGAAAAACCGTAAAATGGTATAAAAAGCTGCTTTTTGGTTTGTTAGATATGGCACTTCTAAATGCAAATGTAATATATTCGAAGGTAAAAGGCGAGAAATATGCTTTGGAATTCAGATCCAGAGTTATTCATCAAATAATAGGAAAATTCGCTAAACCAAGGAGCTCAAAAACTTGTTCAAATTCCGGGCATTCAACCATTTCGTCTAACTGGTAGACATTTTCCAAAAATTTATATTGATGGGAAAGGAAAGAAATAAGTAGAAGAAGCTGTGTCGTACGTGCTAAAAAAAATCGAAAACAAACATCATATTATGAGTGCAAAATATGCAATGTTGGACTCTGTGTGGATCTTGTTTGAACTATATCACACACAGCAGAATTTTTAAATTTCGATTTTATCAGAATATATTATTTCTTAATTTCCTCTTTTTTATTTTTGTTTGTAATATTTGCAGCTTTGTTTTATTGTGTATAGTATTTTTTTCTGGCATAGTAATAATTTTAGTTTTTTGATTTTCATTCATTTTGTATTAACGTATATTTTATTTTAATACATATTAAATAGAAGGTAGTATATATTAATTTATAAATTTGGAGTCTTTATTAAAATGCTGATTTATACGAATTTTTTTGTAAACTTAGGCTTAACTGCTTAAAATGTGCGGGCCGGTAGTGACGCTCCGTTTCAGAGCGTTCGTTCCCGTGACTGAGTTTTATTTCCGGCGCGCTGGTCCTCAGGGGGTTAAATAAAGTATAAATGTTTTTACATTATCACAGTTTTCATTACAGTAATACAAATTAAAGTGAACTTTATCTAAAAACAATACCTGTGCTTCCAGATGATTTGATCTTCTGTGGAGGAGACTGTCTTAGAGAACTTAGGTTTAACACTAATGTTTGTTTATGTTCTTCAAAACATTAGTAACTCTTAAAGGTATTTACCACAAGAGGGGTTAGTATAACCTTCTCTAAAACAACTACCCATAGTTCTGTGTAAAGTTTATTCTTCTGTGTAGGTGATCGTTTTAGAGTGGTTCTATTTAATACCAGTCAGTGTTTATGGTCTCAGAAATCATTGTTGCTTACACAGGCAGTCATCTTAGATAGGTAATTAGAACTAGAAAGCTCATTGCAATAGATATAAAATATTAATTGCATAAATAATAAGAAAATGCTTTAAATTATATATTTATATATAATTTTAACTTCATTTAAGCAATCTTAAAGCATTGTTCATATTTAATGTTTTACAAATGTATTATGACACAAAGTCTGAATGAAACACCTGTCTGATGGAATTTTTTCATTAATATATCTAGTGCTCTGAATCTGTCCTCTATAAAATGTGAAAGAGACGTAAGATAATATTGAGTTACTTTTAAGACATTTTCTTTATTAAGCAATGAAAAAAAATATTTTTCAAATATTTATGATCACCTCTGTTGCTTTATTTTTATACACTTCTAAAAATTCCAAAGTTGAATGTTGTAGTGCTGTTTGATGACATACTAAGGTGCAATTATCAACATCTATGTAACGAATAATGATCCATTAACATCTATGTAAGGAACGATATGTGTACTTCCATTTACTTTTTCTACTCTGTCTGATAATGAATCAAAGTAAAGCCTGAATAACTTAAAACAATTTCTCATAGTTTCATACAAAACTAAATTCCAACACGTATCAGTATCTGTGGTTCAAAACAGTCTATTCAAAGTGGATATTTTTACTGAAATGTTTTTTCAAGAGAGAATTTCTTTTATAGCCACACTTATGAATAAATATGTGATTGAGAGGTTGCGGCAGAGCACTAACAGTTTGACAGCTTTCAAATTTTCTGGATAGATTGTAGTAAAACTTTTCACGTTTGTCAGTTGTAACATAAAATAATAATTTTTTGTTCATTTAAATGAACATTAAATTCTGTATTTTAAAATTACATTTCCAACAGTTAAATATAAAAAATAAGTATTTTGTATTAATAAAAATAGGAAAAAACATTTTAAAATTTGAATTCATGTCTTGGAACATTTTAATTGCACCATTTTTCACAAGTGACTTTGTTGCTACAAAACATCACAATCTCTTACATACTATTCAGTAAACAAATGACCAAGATAGAGAGAGATCCCACAATTTCATTTATTTAAGTTAGTAAAACCAGAATAAAGTCATTATTTAACAATGAAATCACTAAATTTAGCATGTACTCAATACCTCACTTTAGTGAATAATAATATAGGAAACTTAACTTCAGTATCCCCTTTCAGTCTAAATGATGAAAAAAATCCATGTTGAAATTTCATCTATACAGCAAGAAATTCTGACATCTGACATACTCATCAGCGATAAAAAAAAGTTGTTCGAACCTATGAATTCTTTTCTTTATTTATAGCAATTAGTTATAACTTTTAAATCATTTATTCAGTGTTCCAGTCATTTGTAAATCTTAATAATCCTGTTTTGAGCATTTATTTGATGTGTTAAATGGTAACACTAGCACACAGTGCACAAAAAAAAATAAATTCTTAATAATCTCGCACAGTAACATATAATGAACTTAATATTTCAATTCAGTTAAAACATAACTTAAATTTCCTTCAAATGTGAAGCTGTGTATTTCAAATCATAATCATACAAACATTACATATTAAATCATTTAAAACATAACTATTACCTGCTTCTAGATAAAAACATATCCGAATATTCCTATGGTAAACAGCATCTATGATTTGTGTATCTTCTAGGTTTTAGCTTAAATTTCTGCTAGATTCAAGTTTAAAAAATGCTCAGCTTCTATTTAATAAATGTAGTATAGTTCTTTGTTGCAAAAATTATCTTTTTCCTTTTCTTTCTAGAGATTTTGTTTCAACAGTCGTTGATGTAGCTTGTGAATCTGGCAATTCAAAATGTTTACAAACTATGAATGAAGAGTTACAGTTATGGATGCTTGGAAAAAAGTAAGATTGTGCATTTTGTATCTATTGTTATAAAAGAATATTAAAAGGAATCATAGTTACTTCATAAGAATGTTCTGATCAGTATTAGAATTTCATAAAAATTAATATGAGATGTAGCTATAGCAAATAAAGGGTTAAAAAATATAACTGTTTAGTATAAAAACACAGTTCTAACAACTGAATTTAAGGCCATATTAAAATATTATTTTATTTAATTTGTGCTCTGATTATTTAATAATAACTGTTACTTTAGCTGGTTCCATTTTGCAATGTTTTAAATTCAGCAAATTCCTTACTACATAATTCTCTTCCAGAGTACAATTGTATTGTCTCTATTGTTTCTGAATAAATTTTTATTGGCCATTGGTGATTTCAGTTGTTAAATATGGTAGTTTCTTGTCATATTCAGCCTTCGCTGAAACAAACTAGCTAACCAGTATTTTTATTAGTTTCCTTTTAGTAACAGATACCAGCTTTCTGTTGAAAATTCCCAATTTTTATGTGTTTGGGTATAATTGACTAATGAAAAGGTATATGATAAAGCAGGACAGTAATCTTTTATTCATTTCATTATAGGAATTTATTTATTTATCATCTACAATAATTACATTTATTTTACAAAATTTTATTGCATTTTAGGGATTAACATAATGCTTAAGGCTTAAAAAATGTAATGTTAACGTAATGCTTAAAAGCATTGTGTACATTAAAAAAACATATTTGGTGATTTTAGATTTGTGCCAAGATCTCGGCTAAAATTTTGCCAAGCTTGTGAAGCGAGAATATACAAATAAACAGCACAATATATAATAATAACAATAATACTCATATTTCATTTCATAAGAATATTTTTAAGAATTCTTATCCATATTATGTTATCATATGTAATTGTTACAGTAAACTGCAGCACATACTTAGCTGTTTATCAGCTCTTCTGCCCAAGAACACATAGATCTAATAGCAGTAGTAAATGATATTCTGGAACTGCTGAACCAATTTCCAACATGGAGGCCCTTCTTTCTTTGCATTTTAACATTGATCTCCATGGTTTCTTTTAACAGAAGTTTATGTCAGGCCATTTCACATACTTGTTTGTCACCACAAGACCTCCTTCTTGAAAAAAATTATATGGCATCCATTTCATTACTTGGTAAATTAACTCCTTCACATCCAATTCGCTCGACATGGCCCTACATTGAAACACCAGAACCCCGAAAACGGCGAGATTGTAATCTTATTTTTCGCCCCCCCCCTAAGTATGCAGAAACAGGTGCACTTTCCCCAATGCATTGATCGTTTACTGCGACAGCTGTCCTAATTTTTTTTTTTTTATATCTTTTTGTTAATCGTGACATTCCGTTGTTGATTCTTTTGTTGTACAGTGTGTTTTAAGCTTTAACAGCATAAAAGAGCGTTTAAAAAATAAGGATATATTATTTAAAACAATTATTCCTTCCATAAAAATAACGAAATAAACAAAATCTCAGTTGTGATCATAAAGCCGGAAAGACTCTTTGATCTGATCTTCAGAATAGTTTTATAAAGAACGGAGTCAAAGGCTAATGGAATCTTTATTAGAAAGTACAAAGGATGTCATTCGAAATCTTCTCACCCTTTTTGCATTTAATGGACTGGGAGGGGAGGAAATTGCTGTGAAACTGGAAAAGTATTTTGGGTGGTTCGGGTATTTTGAGGATACAGCTTAGCGAAGGGTCTGGATTTCAAAGAATTAAAGATTGTTAACATCATATTCACAAAAAAAGTAACGTAATCAAAAATGAATAATATAAGAACATGTGTGAGAGCAAAAATGTAACATAGTGCTTATATATGATTACATTATGAGGTATAAGAACACACAGCCAGATTTTGGCGAGATATCTTGGTTGATTTCAAATTCAGTTTCAGGAGCCGCTATAACAAAGAAAAACAAAAAAATTACATACTTTCTTACACATAATTAGTATTTATCATGATAATCAATCAATAAACCTATTTGTGAGTGGGCTTTTGGTTTGTTGGAAAATTCATGGCAATATTGGAATTAATAATAATGTATATTAATAATATGTTTTAATAATAGATACAAGCAATGTTCCATTTACCAATTTGTTGAGAAAATACTATATCATGCAGAAATTTTAGTTTGTTTTCCTCCATTTTAAGCAGATATTTTAAAATTGGATTTAAGACAAAAAAATTTAACGATTTGTCTATAAGCATCACTGGAACTTGGAGTACAGCAAAAAGAACATGTACAAAAAATGTAACCTTTACTAATGTTGTAGCACTAACACTGTCACAGAAATCATTAACAAATAAAAAAATACTCAAATTTTACAAGGTGTAGAGAAATTGGCAACAAATATACTATAATTCTCATACTGTAAAGATGAGGTATAACAACAAAAAAAAAAAAAAAATAGTCTGTTATGATGGAGCAAAAAAGAGCAGAAAGTTCTCTTAGTTATAAATTTCATAATTGTATGAATCTGCCACTTGCTTTATTGCATGTTGCGAATTGAATGCAGGGCATGCGGTTTTTTTTTTTTTTTCCTAATGCTTAGGTATGTTTTTGAATATTGTCATTTCAGTTTTAAATAAATCTGTACAGAACAAAAAGCAAAGACTTTTCCTATTCACACAGCATAACAAATTTAATTTGTCTTTGAGCTGCTGACTCTAAACTGTGATTACGAAAAGAATAAATCTGAAAACAAAAAGCAAAGACTTTTCCTATTCACACAGCATAACAAATTTAATTTGTCTTTGACCTGCTGACTCTGAACAGTGATTATGAAAAGAATAAATCTGAAATGATATTTGAGAAAATTGACATGCTTTGAATGCTCGACAAATGCTTTAAGTGCGAAATTGACTTTGCTGTGAATATTAAAATCATCTAGAAGTTAGTTACCTATAAATGTTGAGTAAAACATATTACATATCTGTATATGACTTTAAAGTTTTTGAAAACTTCTTGGATTTACTTTATGTAGAGATTAAATAGTTTTCTTTTTCCATATCTTTTTGTAATGTGTTAAGCAAGGAAATATGCTGTTACTTTTTAGAAAAACCCTTTAAGTTGTGATTGTGCAATTCCATCAATGAATAGCTCTTTCAGGGCGACCTTTAATCAGTGGCGTAAATAAGGGTATGCAAGGAATGCCGTCGC